AAAAACTGCATTTTACCCTATGTACTATTATTAGCCATGTCGGCCATATTGGTTCAAGGGCGGGGTCATCAGACACAATTTTTAAACTACATACCCTAATGATGATTGTTTACAACTTTGGTTAAATTCATCTTAGTAGTTTCAGAGAAGATTTTTGTAAAAGATAACAAAAATTTACGAAAAATTGTTAAAAATTGACTATAAAAGGGCAATAACTCCTTAAGGGGTCAACTGACCATTTTGGTCATGTTGACTTATTTGTAGAACTTACTTTGCTGAACATTATTGCTGTTTACAGTTTATCTCTATCTATAATAATATTCAAGATAACCAAATACGGCAAAACTTCCTTAAAATTACTAATTCAGGGGCAGCAACCTAACAACGGGTTGTCCGATTCATCTGAAAATTTCAGGGCAGATAGATCTTGACCTGATAAATATTTTTACCACATGTCAGATTTGCTCTCAATGCTTTGGTTTCAGAGATATAAGCCAAAATCTACATTTTACCCCTATGTTCTATTTTAAGCCATGGCGGCCATCCTGGTTGGTTGGCCGGGTCACCGGACACATTTTTTAAACTAGATATCCTGATGATGATTGTGGCCAAGTTTGGTTAAATTTGGCCCAGTAGTTTCAGAGGAGAAGATTTTTGTAAAAGTTTACGGACGACGGACACAGGACGACAGACGCCAAGTGATGAGAAAAGCTCACTTGGCCCTTTGGGCCAGGTGAGCTAAAAAAGGAAAACCCCCCCCCCTCCCCAAATTTTTTGAACCCCTTCTGATTCATCACCCCCAAACTCAATCCCAGCCTTCCCTTTGTGGTATGGTACCTTGCAGTACAATTTCAGAGAGAGCCATACACTTGAACACAAGTTATTGTCTGGAAACTAGAAAAATGCTTGTTTTTTGGCCCCTTTTTGGTCCCAAATTCCTAAACGTTTAGGGCAATTACCCCCAAAATCAATCCCAGCCTTCCCTTTGTGGTATGGTACCTTGCAGTACAATTTCAGAGAGATCCATACACTTGAACACAAGTTATTGTCTGGAAACTAGAAAAATGCTTATTTTTGGCCCCTTTTTGGCCCCTTGTTCCTAAACGTTTTGGGCAATTACCCCCAAACTCATTTCCAGCTTTCCCTTTGTAATATGGAATCTTGTAGTACAATTTCAGAAAGATCCATACACTTACACACAAGTTATTGTCATGAAACTAGAAAAATGCTTGTTTTTTGCCCCTAATTCCTAAAATTTGAAGGCAATTACCCCCAAAATCAATCCCAGCATTCCCTTTGTGATATGAAACCTTGTGGTACAATATCAGAGAGATCCATACACTAACACACAAGTTATGTCTGGAAGTTACAAAAATGCTTATTTTTGGTCCCTTGTTGGCCCCTAATTCCTAAACTGTTGGAACCATAACCCCCAAAATCAATCCCAACCTTCCTTTTGTGGTATTGAACCTTATGGTAAAATTTCATAGAGATCCATTCAATTAAACTAAAGTTAGAGTGCGAAAACCAATGTGTCTTCGGACGACGACGACGACGCCAACATCATACCAGTACACAATTTTTTGCGGTCGTATAAAAATGAAAAAAAATGGTAAATTTGTCATTTAAGGGCAATAACTCATATAAGAAGTCGTCTGTTAGTTTTGCCATATATGCACAATAGTTAGAGCTCAATATTCTTAACATTATTGCCCTTGTCAGATTTTCTCTATTTATCAGTCAGAGCTCTGACATAAACAAGTCAGAATAAAATGACTTCTTCAAGTCAGAAAGTGTTTTGAAATTCTGACCTGTACGCGTCAATTTTTGTTTTGCGTAGTTTTCACTCGAGTCCGTCAAACCAGAAGTTATTTTGAATTTGCCGCCGATCTACGACACATACGATCACGTGGTTTTTTGCAAGAGATCACGTGTTTGAGAGTCGTTGTTTTGGAAGTGTCTCGAACGAGAAGTCATTGAATATTATATTGATTATTTACGATTTTTAGTGAAAATCTAGGTCATTGTGGGCATTTTTAGAAAGGTAATTCATATTACCTCCGTATTTTCATGGGCATTTTTATATTTTTTGCCTATAAAGAAGTTCCTTGCAAGTGATTTTTTTGCTATTTCATGAAGGCGCGCGACCTGTAAATACGGACGCGTGGTCTTTTAGATGACCTGGTGTTTGACAATTCTGACTTGTTCAGGTCAGAAATTGTTGTTATGATAATGAATTGTTATTTTCGGGAGATAACTCGTGTTGTCTTAAACAATATTAACATTATTAACCAGTCAGTGCAATTTAAAAAGTAAAATTATTGCTTCGAGCTGAACATCGTCACGTGATTTTTCTATTTTTAAACTCAATCACGAACTGATTTTTTAACCTTTCTGATTCGTTTCTCCCTATGAGAAAAACGATCATTGTGAATATTGATATGATGATAATGAAACGAAAATGGGAAAAATTTTAATAAAAGAAAAAGGAAGGGAGGGGTTTAACTAAAGAACCCAAGGGTTTTTTTTTTTTTATTTTTAAAGTTATAACTTGAGAACAATAAGTGATGCACACACCTGGTCTTCATTTATGATCATTGGACATGATAAAACAAATCAAATGAAATGTAGGGCAAGTCTCCAGGGATCACCCCTATCCCTGTAATTTCTCTATTCCTCTTTATAATGTCAAATTGATTTGAATGAAATATACCGGGCTAGTCTCCAGGTTTACCCCCACCCCTGCCATTTGCAAATGTTCTTATATTTTGTAAACGGTAGAGATCCCCACCCCTAAACCATATATATTCTTGTATGGGACAATTTAACAAATCAAATGATATGTTGGGGAGGTCCCTGGGGGTCACCCCTACCCCTCCTGTTGGAAAACTTGTAAACGGTCGAGATCCCCACCCCTAAACCATATATTTTCTTGAATAGGACTATAAAACAAATCAAATGAAGTATAGGGGAAGTCCCTTGGGGTCACCCCCATCCCCTCCTGTGTGAAAACTTGTAAACGGTCGGGATCCCCACCCCTTAACCATATATATTCTTGTAAGGGTCAATAAGACAAATCAAATGAAATAAAGGTGGAGTCCCTGAGGGTCACCCCACCCCCTCATGTTTGAAAACTTGTAAACGGTCGAGATCCCCAACCCTACACCATATACATTCTTGCACAGGACAATAAAACAAATCAAATGAAATATAGGGGAAGTCCATTGGGGTCATCCCCACCCCCTTTTTGAAATGTTCTGGATCACCACCCCTAAAGGTAAACCATATGATATTCCTGTTCGTCATTTCAAGAAGATTTGAATGACATGCAGGGTCAAACCCTAGGCGTCACTTATGCATATCACTTTACTAGACAAAACCAATTTGTACTGGAACTTGCCCAATGTCAGGCAACCATGGGAATGACGAATTATGGGAGCTTAAATTTGTTTGGGAGACTTCGTAACAGCATCCTGTTACAATTATTTCTTGTTTATTTTAATCTGCTGAGAGACCACCTTTACATATTATATTTATCAGTGTTTGTGCAAACAGAATTGTCTATTCAGTATTATTTTCCTCTCACATGCATCACATCTTATTAATTACATGGATATAGGAAGATGTGGTATGAGTGCCAATGAGACAACTCTCCATCCAAGTTACAATTTATAAAAGTAAACCATTATAGGTCAAGGTACGTCCTTCAACACGGAGCATTGGCTCACACCGAACAGCAAGCTATAAAGGGCCTCAAAAAATTACTAGTGTAAAACCATTCAAACGGAAAAACCAACGGTCTAATCTATATGAAAAAAAAAAAAAAATTTTGGCATATTTGTTTTCCTCTGAAATTACACATCTATAATTCTTACCCCAGATGCTTAGCCACATGAAGCATTTACCTCTTATTTGAGACATAGATAGTCTTTGTTTCTACAGAAGTGAGAAGAACATTGGAAGTCAGAATGTTCTGACTTATAAAAGTCTGAATGTTCTGACTTATAAAAGTCTGAATGTTCTGACTTATAAAAGTCTGAATGTTCTGACTTATAAAAGTCTGAATGTTCTGACTTATAAAAGTCTGAATGTTCTGACTTAATAAGGTCAGAAAGACTCAGAATGATCTGAAAATACTGACTTTTTTTAATGTTTAGAGTATTTTAGAATATGAATGCACTTGTCATGCTAGTACCATAAGAAACCCTGACAAGATTTTGTTCCCAAACAACAATTTTTAAAGATATTAAGAATAACAAGTGTACAATGGAACATAAATTACAAAGTTATAAGTGTTGTGAAAAAAGCTATTTAAAAAAAAATCAATAGATAGTTATCTTTCAACTTTTACATGTATTTAAAAAACAGTGAAAATATTATGGATTATATGTACGGCTTCTTGGAGGACAAAAAAGTCACCATATTTGGTCTGAATTTGTATGTTTTTTCTCCTCAAATGTTTTTTAACATTATTAATGTCGGCTTTTTTCTTAACTAATTTTAAACATTCTTAATTATAATTAAATTTCCCCAACATTTTGCTTACAAACTCTTTAATTTCTAAAGTCAAATTGAAAGTTGTCTTCACAGATTCAATGTGTCTGAAAATGTTATATTGAAAAAACAATACTTTTATATCCTCAAATAAAATGGGTATACCATGACTTTAATGGTCATGCAGATATGCAATCCAGGATGTTAACAATCAGAGTTTAGATTACAGTCATATAGTAATAGGCAGAGTTTTTCTTATATAATCAATAACCAGAGTAAAGATAATTGATTAATAGAGGTTTAGTTTAATATAAGTAATAAACAAAGCTAATTAATACACTTGCAATAACATACATGTAGTTAAATTAGTAAATATAGAATATTCATAAAAAATTCAGACAGAAATACTGTAATAGGTCAAGTCATTAGGGACGACATCAAAAGTTCAATATAGGATAAAAAACTTAATTCACATCACATAGTTTTTTCACTGAACCCCCCCCCCCCCCCCCCCCCCCCCCCCCCCCCCCTCTTAACTTAATTTGGGAAAGATTGATTGACCAATATGGATTTATGTAAAATCGATTTTGGATAAACAAAACTTGCAGCAACTTTAACCCCACCCCCACCCCCAAACTATTTGATTTAAGTTTTTTTATCCTACATTGGTCTTTTGATGGCGTCCCTTAGAATGTGCTGACTTTGTACATGTTGTAGTGATAGTTATGGCACCCATACAACATATAGGAATCAGTCAAAAGGAGAGAAAAATTCCCGAAATTTGTCACATAGTGACATTTGTGAGTCGGAATAACAAAATATAGACTCATTAATCTCTCCATCTTTTCAAAACTTATGAACCAGATTTTATGCATATCCATTTAGTTTTTGACGGACTCTTTTAAGTCAGAACATGATTTGACCTGTTTGAGTCAATTTGCAGAACAAAATTTCCAATCAAAGCTATGTGTTCTTCCTCTTAGCCCCCTTCTGAATCTGCCACTGTTGAGTTTATTAATTGATTTTTCCATACATTATCATTACTATCAAATGGCAATGCCTGACTTAATAATTTCAATAAATTTAGTTTTTGACTGATTTTTTAAAGTCAGAACATGACTTGACCTGTTTAAGTCAATTTGCAGAACAAAATTTCCAATCAAAGCTAGGTGTACTTCCTTTAAGCCCTGCAATGCCCGGCTTAAATATTTCAATAAATTTATTTTAGTTTTGGACTGACTCTTTTAAGTCAGAACATGATTTGACCTGTTTAAAACAAAATACATTTAATATTGAATATACCAAATAAACTTTTTTATTGTCCTCATTATTGTGACTTATGGGGTCTTTATTCTCTCTGTCTTTTATCTGGCTCACCCATACATTTTTAAATCAATATGACAATACTATACTTAAAAGTTGTAATAAGTTTAGTTTTGTTTGACTCTTTGAAGTCAGAACATGATTTGACCTGTTAAAGTCAGTTTACAGAACAAAATTTCCAATCAAAGCTAGGTGTACTTCCTTTAAGCCCTGCTTCTGATCTGCCATTTTCGAGTTTATTATTTGATAAGTTTTTAGAAACAATTAAGTCAAATGGTTATTTATTTTAGGGGATCTTACATATATTTCCTGTGTCTTTTATCTGACGTTCCCATACATTCATTAAATAACATATGGCAATGCCCAGCTTATATATTTCAATAAATTTATTTTAGTTTTGGACTGACTCTTTTAAGTCAGAACATGATTTGACCTTTTTAAAACAAAATACATTTAATATTGAATATACCAAGTAAACTTTTTTATAGTCCTCATTATTGTGACTTATGGCTACCTTATTTCCTCTGTCTTTTATCTGGCTCACCTATATATTTTTAAATCAATATGACAATACTACACTTAAAAGTTGTAATAAGTTAAGTTTTGTTTGACTCTTTGAAGTCAGAACATGATTTGACCTATTAAAGTCAGTTTACAGAACAAAATTTCCAATCAAAACTGGTCTTTTCCTCTAAGCCCCCCCCCCCCCCTAATCTGAATATGCTACTGTTAAGTTAATTAATTGATAAGTTTGTTTAGAAACAATTCAGTCAAATGGATTTAAAATAATATTTTTTATAACCAAAAGTTCCATATGTTAACTTAACAGAAAAAAAGTCATAAAAATGCAGAAATAGAATAAAATTTTAAGATAATTTGATGAAATTTGTAAACAAAATACATTTGAATATTAAATATACCAAATAAACTTTTTTATAGTCCTCATTATTGTGACTTTATTATTGGGTGTCTTTTATCTGATTTTCCCATACATTCTTAAATGCATATGACAATTCCAGACTTAAAAGTTGCAATAATTAGTAAAAGAATAGTTTTTGACTGACTCTTTGAAGTCAGAACATAATGTGACTTGTTCAAGTCAGTTTGCACAATAGGATTTACCTCAATGAAATATTAAGATATCAAATATATACCAAATTAACTTTTATATAGTTCTAAAAATTGTGACTTAATATTTGTGATCTTTTTTCCTACTTGTATCCATACATTCTAACAATCACATCACAATCATGACAATGCCCGACTGTTACAGTTGCAATCCATTTAGTGTTTGACAGACTCTTATAAGTCAGAACATGATTTGACCTGCTTGAGTCAGTTTACAGAACACAATTTCCAATCAAAGCTATGTGTTCTTCCTCTTAGTCCCCTTCTGAATCTGCCACTGTTGAGTTTATTAATTGATAAGTTTTAAGAAACAATTAAGTCAAATGGTTATTTATCTTAGAGGATCTTGCATGTATTTCGTGTGTATTTTATCTGACTTTTCCATACATATCATTAATATCATATGGCAATGCCTGACTTAAAAATTTCAATAAATTTAGTTTTTGACTGATATTTCAGAAAGTCAGAACATGATTTGACCTGTTTAAGTCAATTTGTCAGAACATAATTTGACCTGTTCAAGTCAGTTTGCAGAACAAAATTTCCAATTAAAGCTAGGTGTACTTCCTTTAAGCCCTGCTTCTGAATCTGCCATTTTTGAGTTTATTATTTGATAAATTTTTAGAAACAATTAAGTCAAATGGTTATTTATTTTAGGGGATCTTACATATATTTCCTATGTCTTTTATCTGACGTTCTCATACATTCATTAATATCATATGGAAGTGTCCAACTTTAAAATGTCAATAAACTTAGTTTTGGACTGACTGTTTTAAGTCAGAACATGATTTGACCTGTTTAAAACAAAATACATTTAATATTGAATATACCAAATAAACTTTTTTATAGTCCTCATTATTGTGACTTTAGGGGACCTTATTTCCTCTGTCTTTTATCTGGCTTTCCCATACATTTTTAAATCAATACGACAATACTAGACTTAAAAGTTGTATTAATAAGTTTAGTTTTGACTGACTCTTTGAAAGCAGAACATGATTTGACCTGTTAAAGTCAGTTTACAGAACAAAATTTCCAATCAAAGCTAGGTGTTCTTCCTCTAAGCCCCCCCCCCCCCCCCCCCCTAAATATGAATCTGCTACTGTTGAGTTAATTAATTGATAAGTTTTTTTAGAAACAATTCAGCCAAATGGTTATTAAAATTTTATTTTTTTTTGGCAACCACAAGTTCTATGTGTAAACTTAACAGAAAAGAAAAGTCATGAAAATACAGAAATAAAATAAAATTTTAAGATAATTTGATGAAAATCTTTAAAAACAAAATGCATTTGATATTGAATATACCAAATAAACTTTTTTATAGTCCTCATTATTGTGACGTAAGGGGACCTTATTTCATCTGGCTTTTATCTGGCTTTCCCATACATTTTAAAATCAATATGAAAATCCTAGACTTAAAAGTTGAAATAAGTTTAGTTTTGTTTGACTCTTTGAAGTCAGAACATGATTTGACCTGTTAAAGTCAGTTTACAGAACAAAATTTCCAATCAAAACTAGGTCTTCTTCCTCTAAGCCCCCCCCCCCCCCCCCTTTTTCCCTTTATCTGAATCTGCTACTGTTGAGTTATTTAATCATGTTAATTGATAAGTTTTTTTAGAAACAATTCAGTCAAATGGTCTTTAAAATAATATTTTTTACAACCAAAAGTTCCATGTGTTAACTTAACAGAAAAGAAAAAGTCATGAAAATACAGAAATAGAATAAAATTTTAAGATAATTTGATGAAACTTGTAAACAAAATACATTTGAATATTACATATACCAAACAAACTTTTTTATAGTCCTCATTATTGTGACTTTATTATTGGGTGTCTTTTATCTGTTTTTCCCATATATTCTTAAATGCATATGACAATGCCAGACTTAGAAGTTGCAATAATTAGTTAAAGTATAGTTTTTGACTGACTCTTTGAAGTCAGAACATAATTTGACCTGTTTAAAACAAAATACATTTAAATATTGAATATACCAAATAAACTTTTTTATATAATCCTCATTATTGTGACTTTAGGGGACCTTATTTCCTCTGTTTTTTATCTGGCTCTCCCATACATTTTTAAATCAATATGACAATACTTAAGACTTAAAAGTTGTAATAAGTTTAGTTTTGACTGACTCTTTGAGGTCAGAACATGATTTGACCTGTTAAAGTCAGTTTACAGAACAAAATTTCCAATCAAAGCTAGGTGTACTTCCTTTAATCCAAGAAAGTCCTTGCTTTCAGACTGCTTCTGAATCTGCCATTTTCGAGTTTATTATTTGATAAATTTTTAGAAACAATTAAGTCAAAATGGTTATTTATTTTAGGGGATCTTAACATATATTTCCTGTGTCTTTTATCTGACGTTCCCATACATTCATTTAATATCATAAGGCAATGCCCGGCTTAACTATTTCAATAAATTTATTTTAGTTTTGGACTGACTCTTTTAAGTCAGAACATGATTTAACCTGTTTAAAACAAAATACATTTAATATTGAACATACCAAGTAAACTTTTTTATAGTCCTCATTATTGTGACTTATGGGGACCTAATTTCCTCAGTCTTTTATCTGGCTTACCTATACATTTTTAAATCAATATGACAATACTAGACTTAAAAGTTGTAATACGTTTAGTAAGTCAGAACATAATGTGACTTGTTTGAGTCAGTTTGCACAACAGTATTTACCTCAATGAAATATTAAAATAATAAATGTTTTGCTCTTAATACAATTTTAGCTTAAAGTGGATGAGAATATATCTTTTATTAACATAGTCTTATCATGAATAAGTGTCTTGTTTTTCCTTGGAAGATTTGAAGTATTGTCATGTAATGTATCCAATATTGTATTTTGTAAATCTTTTGATATTCAGAAAATTGTATGATCCATTTTTTCTCACCTGGTTTTTCTTTGTATTTTGAAATAATTGAAAGTGATGAGATAAATATATTATGTTTAGATTCTGGAAAGGAGAAGGTATGATGTCAGATGAGCCCCACTTTTTAAAACTCTTTAATTCGAAACTAGTAATCACCATATTTTTATGGAGATTGATAACAAAGTGGTAGTAATGACTGCTTCAAATCAGAACAAAAATGACCTCTCGAAGTCAAAATGCATTAAAAAGGGGCATAAATCTTATTAGAATATGAAGATATTAAGTCACAATATTTTGTGCAAAATCTGACCTGTGGAAGTCATTTTATGATAAATTAAAGTCTGACATAAACTGACCTGTACAAGTCATAATCTGTTGAGTGCAAGAAGGGAGACAACACTTACATCAAATTATATCTGACCTATGGAAGTCATTTTATTCTGACTTGTTTATGTCAGAGCTCTGACTGTTTATAATGGTTTTCAAAAATAATAGACAAAACTTGCATTTTACCCCTATGTTCTATTATTAGCCATGTCGGCCATCTTGATTGGAAGGTGGAGTTATCAGACACACATTTTTTAAACTAGATACCCCAATGATGATTGTGGCCAAGTTTGGTTAATTTGGCCCAGTAGTTTCAGAGGAGAAGATTTTTGAAAAAGTTAACAGACGACAACGAGGCACAACGGACATTTTTTTGTAAATTTGTTATATACAGTACATGATGAATGACAGAAATATCAGCTGTAATTGCCCCATATAACAACCTCTAGTTCGCCAGAACCTGTAAAATTTGAGTAATTCCACAGTGATTTATTGATACAATGAGATATGTACCTGCTATAAAAGCCTCCCTTTCTCCCTCCCTAATTGCTCTAGTTCTGACAAACTCCAGTCTGAGTTCTAAAGCTGTATCATGAGATATACATACCTGCTATGATAGCCTCCCTTTCTCCCTCCCTAATTGCTCTAATTCTGACAAACTCCAGTCTGAGTTCTAAAGCTGTATCATGAGATATATATACCTGCTATGATAGCCTCCCTTTCTCCCTCCCTAATTGCTCTAATTCTGACAAACTCCAGTCTGAGTTCTAAAGCTGTATCATGAGATATACATACCTGCTATGATAGCTTCCTTTTCTCCCTCCCTAATTGCTCTAATTCTGACAAACTCCTGTCTGAGTTCTAAAGCTGTATCATGAGATATACATACCTGCTATGATAGCCTCCCTTTCTCCCTCCCTAATTGCTCTAATTCTGACAAACTCCTGTCTGAGTTCTAAAGCTGTATCATGAGATATACATACCTGCTATGATAGCCTCCCTTTCTCCCTCTCTATTAGCCCTAATTCTGACAAACTCCTGTCTGAGTCCTAAAGCTGTATCTGTACTCTGGTTTATAAATATCTTGACTGGATTCTTCAGGGACACTGCAGCAAGATCCTTCACCTATTTTTAAAGTTTCAGTATTATTTTTTTGTTTTACTACTTTCTAGATTGCTTTATCGGTTTTTTGTTTTTTTGTGTGTTTTTTTTTAAATATTCGAAATAATACTTGTTTTCTTTGAAGGGTAATGGCAGATCTAAGTATGAATGGACAGAGTGAGCACTGCCCTTGTTTAAAAGACATCACACATTAAGCATACTTAATCATTATTTTGTACATAAATAAGGCTGTTAGTTTTCTCGTTTGAATTGTTTTACATTTGTCATTTTTGGGCCTTTTATAGCTTATGCAGTATGGGTTTTACTCATTGTTGAAGGCCATACAGTGATCTACAGTTGTTAATTTCTGTGTCATTTAGTCTCTTGTGGGGAGTTGTCTCATTGGCAATCATACCACATCTTCTTATTTTTATACTAAGCATCTTAATTTATTATTAAAAGAAAATTAATTTATTTCAACATCATAAACCAAGTAAACTGAAACATCTTAATTGTTAATTAAAAGAAAATTGACTAATTTCGATGGCCCATATGAAAATTATTCCTTAATTTAATATGCTCATCCATGTGTTTATTTGTCCAAATTGATTGCCCCCTAAACATGTCTGATTATTTTCCTCACTATACAGCCTTCAACAATGAGCAAAACCCATACCGTATAGCAAGCTATAAATACCCGAAATGACAAATGTAAAACAATTTCAAACAAGACAAAAGTATTTGCCTTAATTTTACAGTTGAAGTTCAATTAGACTTTAAAAACTTTTATGAATACTTATTTCAAATAAAACAGTATATTTTGTTTTATTCTTATATGAAATATACTACACTAACTCATGGTTTAGCTAGCTATGAAACCAGGTTTAACCCAACATTTTCTTTGGAAAATTGCCTGTACCAAGTCAGGAATATGACAGTTGTTTTTCACTATTCCGTTAGTTGATAACGTTTGATTTTGTCAGTTTTTATGGACTTACCCTTTTTTGAATTTGCCTTGGAGCTCGGTATTTTTGGTGGAAGAAAATTTTGGAAAATCTTAATCAAATATACTTGCAAGTACATACGTTAAATTACAAAACAATTAAAAAGAAGGATAAGGTCTAATCAAGAAACATTGAAGAATAACTAGAGGCTCTCAAGAGACTGTGTCGCTCACCTGTATTTACTGATGCTTTGGAAATCATGTAAAATAAGGTTAAAATCATAATTAATAGTATTGGATATTAGATATTATAATGATATCTAAGATATTAACAAAAAACTGCAAACTTTTGTAAAATTACTAACTCAGGGGCAGCAACCCAACAACGGGTTGTCAGATTCGTCTGAAAATTTCAGGGCAGATAAATCTAAATCTGATGAACATTTTTGCCACCTGTCAGATTTGCTCAAAATGCTTTAGTTTCAGAGATATAAACCAAAAATGCATTTTACCCCTATGTTCTATTTTTAACCAAGTTGGCTATGATGGTTGGAAGGCGGGGTCATCGGACAAATTTTTTAAACTAGATACCCTAATAATGATTATGGTCAAGTATGGTTAAATTTGTCTCAATAGTTTCAGAGAAGAAGATTTTTGTAAAAGATTACAAAAATTTACGAAAAATTGTTAAAAATTGACTATTAAGGGCAATAACTCTTAAAGGGGTCGACTGACAATTTTGGTCATGACAACTTATTTGTAGATCTTACTTTGCTGAACATTATTGCTGTTTACAGTTTATCTCTATCTATAATAATATTCAAGATAATAACCAAAAACTGCAAAATTTCCTTAAAATTACCAATTCAGGGGCAGCAACCAAACAACAGGTTGTCAGATTTGTCTGAAAATTTCAGGGCAGATAGATCTTGACCTGATGATCAGTTTTACCCTATGTCAGATTTACTCTTAATGCTTTGGTTTCAGAGATATAAGCCAAAATCTACATTTTACCCCTATGTTCTATTTTTAGCCATGGAGGCCATCTTGGTTGGTTGGCGGGGTCATCGGACACATTTTTTAAACTAGATACCTTAATGATGATTGTGGCCAAGTTTGTGCCAATTTGGCCCAGTGGTTTCAGAGGAGAAGATTTTTGTAAAAAGCTAACGACGACGGACGACAAGTAATGAGAATATTTCACTTGGCCCAAAGGGCCAGGTGAGCTAAAAATGTAACCTCTTCTGTCATTGTGGCTGAGAACAACATGGTCTGTCTGGTCTGTGAACTTTGTCTTATAATCTCCTTCATCTGTTCAGCAAAATATTCATCTAACATTCTGTAAAACATATAACATATTAAACAGATTTCATATTCATCATTCTGGACACACATTATGTAAACTTGTCCTGATGATGTCGAAACATGTTGACCAAATCAAGTGTAATTCATGCCATAACTAGGTTATTGTTGTCGTTATGTTTGTGATTAAGACAACAGCAGCAAACTCTTAATATCCAGGGCTCACACTACTTCAGAATCATAGGGAGAAGTGACTTCTCTTTTTGAAACTGAGAGGGAGAAGTAGTGAAATTTGAAAGAGAAGTGCTCGTTCGCTCACGGCGCTACAATGTTTGGTTTTACTATAATACAAAGGGCCATATGTATCTTATTTTTTTATATTGTTCAATTTGTACCTGGGAGTACAATAAAAGTAACAGTTCAAATTCAAAGTTGTTTAATTTTATCATATCTAGTTGCACAATCATATTAGTCTTCTTGTCAGAAAAAAACCAGTTTAATATCTAGCAATAGTAAAAAAGATTTTTTTTATATCAAAAAGGAAAAGAAAGTTGTTATTTCAATTTAAAATGTACTCTGTTATGTTTGTGAAATTCAGTGGTTAAAATTCTCATTTCAAAGATATATAAATTTAACACAGTTAAGCTTGGACATAGTATAGTAGTCCCAGAGTTGGGCAATTTTAATTAATAAATTGAAACAATTCATATACATGGAAATATATACATTAATCAAGTAGATCTAACCAAAAGTATGTTAATGCGCGTGGAATGCGTAATTTTTCCTTTTGGGATCAATATTCCTCTGTCAGCTGTGCCATTCATTCTTCAGTAGTCATTATCATAAGAATCGTATGAAATAACATGCAACCAACTTTAAAATTAATGCTTTAACCTCTTTTCTGAAGAAAATAAATCGTTTATGTCTTTGAATTTCTTTACTTTTTACTGAAAAATTGCTGTTTCATCGACTTCGTAAAAATTGAATATTGCCGATGACGAAAGCAACTGATAGCGAGTATCGTAAACAGGGCGACTGGATTTCGCTTTTGACGGTCGGGCAAAGCGCAGTGACGGGCGGGAAAGCGACTTTGTCGCCCCAGTCGCATGGTAGCGTAGCCCTGAATATCCATCTTGGTTACTCTACCTAAACTTATCGTCAGAAGATGTTGGTTCAATTTACCTTTTTCATCAGGACCTATGTCCCTAGCGATGTTTTTCTTCAACTCATGGTTTTTATTTCCCCCTAAAATATAGCATGAGACTACACCTACTGGCTTCATCCAGAATCAATATAGCTGATATCCTTACCTATCAGCCTCGTCTAGCACCAATATTTCTATATTTCTGAGTGTGAAGTTGGGAGAATTCTGTAAATGATCAATCAATCGACCTGGGGTTGCTATGACAACATCAGGTGATAACCGTAATGCTGCTTCCTGAGCTTTCAGATCAAGACCACCTTAAAAATAAAAAAAAAATATGAAAATACATCCTTCAAAGTTTCAAGCAATTCATATATGAATTAAGTTATCCTTCATGTCTAACAATAGATATGAAACAACTGCCTATCGGGTCCACTGATGTAAACTTACCAACAGCCAAACAGCATTCAACATTAGTGAACTGCGAGAGTTGTCTGGCTACTGTATGAACCTGAACAGCTAATTCCCTAGTGGGTACCAGTACAAGAACACGGGTCAGTGCTGTGTTTTTAGGTCTGTATAATAATCTCTCCAGGATAGGTAACATAAAGGCCACAGTTTTACCTAACAAAAATAAAACAATGTAAATAAATATCATTTATATGGTCTCTCAATAATAGGAAATCTTTGTACTCTACAAAAAAAATATAAGGACTAGCACCAATTGTTTTCTACTTTATCTTAACTAAGGGCTATTCCATTAAAATGTATGTGGGAGGGTAGGAAGGGACTTTCAAAATATCCCTACAACCAAGAACCATTTTTTAGATAATTTTGCATAATGGTAATAGATGCATACTGAAAAAAGACCCATGACCCACATTCAATAATCAAACTTCCCTTCCTAAACTCCCACATACATTTTAATGGAATAGCCCTAATGAACATGACTACTTTTGATTGGTGTATTCTGTTTTGCTATTCAGTTTGCAAAAAAAAAAACCCAAAACATTTTTAACTTATCTTAGAATAAAACATTTATAAATTCCAATGAAAAAACATGATTCCTTGAGCAAACTAAACCATCAGTATTTTTTCTGATAAAGAGTTATCACATATACTAAACCAAGGTTGGAGACTGATATCTATTTCTTATATATAATTGTATAAGCATGCTACAGGTAATAACAAATAATAATGTCACCATCAGATTGTGTTTTTGGATATGGCTTTAAGACTCTAATTACCTGACCCTGTAACAGCACATGCACAGAGATCTCTTCCTAATAAAGCTACAGGAATAGTAGCAGCCTGGATTGGTGTAGGTTTGGCAAAATTCATACGGCTTAATCCCTGAAAAAGTTATTAAAATTTAGAATAACAGAATTCAGTCCTATTCTAAGTCATATTGTAGGACTTATTCATGAATCATTTTGTCAAGTGCTATTTTACTGATGATAATTGGTACTTATATAATAATAAAGTAACATGATTAGGCTTCCTATCATCAATTTTTTTTTAAATCTTTTTTTCCACAATGCAAAAAATCCTTAATTCTTGGAACATTACCTTTACCTGATAACTGTGTTTGTATCTTCCTGACAAACTATAGTATGCTTACTAATATCTACATAACTTTAGAGTCCTTTTTGCTATATATATGTCCTAATAATAGGTTAGAATTAAGACAGAAAGGTTTTCATACATTCTGTCAAAATTTCCCTCGTAACTTTATTAAAAGTAAAGAAATGTTTCACTCACCCAGTCAATGACTATTCACCATTAATGTGTCAAAATTTCTACAAAGTAAGGTACGCTTACCAAAGTAATGGTGGTAATAGATGCTTGATAAATACTTAAATATGAAAATGTCTTAATGGACAGGCTGACCAGTCTAATTAACTTTTACCAAAACTGTCTATAAATAAGACAACAGTATGCCTATCCCACAGACCATTCATTCCTTGATGGTACATACTTTCATTATAGGTCTAGAAACATTCATGTCTTGAAATGTTGCCTTTTCATCATAATTGTCAATAGTCTCTGAGAATTCTACAAGTTCCTTCTCCTGTAAACAAAAACAACAATAAATGTATGCAAATGTGTTATAACAATAAGGAGATGTGGTTTGATTGCGTATTTTCACACTGGCATTACTTAGTCTTAGAGTATCTGTTGCATATTTTCACACTGGTATTACATAGTCTTAGAGTATCTGTTGCATATTTTTACACTGGCATTATTTAGTCTTAGAGTATCTGTTGCATATTTTCACACTGGTATTACTTAGTCTTAGAGTATCTGTTACATATTTTCACACTGGCATTACTTAGTCTTAGAATGTCTGTAGCAGATTTTCACACTGGCATTACTTAGTCTTAGAGTGTCTGTAGCAGATTTTCACACTGACATTACTTAGTCTTAGAGTGTCTGTAGCAGATTTTCACACTGGCATTACTTAGTCTTAGAGTGTCTGTAGCAGATTTTCACACTGACATTACTTAGTCTTAGAGTATCTGTTACATATTTTCACACTGACATTGCTAAATAAAATGCTTCGCTGGGGCGCAGCTTGATACGACCGCAGAGGTCGAACCCTGAACAGTTGGGGCAAGTATGGACACAACATTCAAGCTTGATACAGCTCTGAATTTGGATTGTTATTAAATGTTTGACACAGCATAGGTTTCTGACACAGAAAGAATGTGGTCTAAGAACTTGAATTTTTTTAATTTACCTATTATGGTCCAATGTCCAAAATCAAAATACATGGTTAGATTCAGCATATCAAAGAACCCCATATATTCAATTTTTGTTAAAATCAAACAAAGTTTAATTTTGGACCCCAACTTGGACAAACTTGAAAACTGGGCCCATAATCAAAAATCTAAACACATGTTTAGATTCAGCATATCAAAGAACCCCAAGAATTCAATTTTTGCTAAAATCAAACTAAGTTTAATTTTGGACCCTTTGGACCTTAATGTAGACTAATTTAAAAAACGGGACTTAAAATTAAAAATCTAAATATACGGTTAGATTTGGAATATCAAAGAACCCCAATAATTCAATTTTTGATGAAATCAAACAAAGTTTAATTTTGGACCCTTTTGACCTCAATATGAACCAATTTGATAGCGGGGCCCACAAATAAAAAATCTAAATTCATGGTTAGATTCAGCATATCAAAGAACCCCATATATTCAATTTTTGTTGAAATCAAAAAAAGTTTAATTTTGGACCCCAACTTGGACCAACTTGAAAACTGGGCCCATAATCAAAAATCTAAACACATGTTAAGATTCAGCATATCAAAGAACCCAAAAGAATTCAATTTTTGTTAAAATCAAACAAAGTTTAAATACTGGACCCTATCTTGGACCAACTTGAAAACTGGGCCCATAATCAATAAAATGCTCCGCTGGGGCGCAGCTTGATACGACCGCAGAGGTCGAACCCTGAACAGTTGGGGCAAGTATGGACACAACATTCAAGCTTGATACAGCACTGAATTTGTATTGTAATTAAATATTTGACACAGCATAGGTTTCTCACACAGAATGAAAGTAGTCTAAGAACTTAAAATTTTTTAATTTACCTATTCAAACCATATCATTATTATTTGCTTTTATATATAAATCAGAAATAACCAATTTAAAATGGAAAATTTTAAAGAAAAAAAAGGAAAAAAAAATCCCCCCCCCCAAATTTTTTGAAACCCCCTTATGATTCATCACCCCCAAACTCAATCCCAGCCTTCCCTTTGTGGTATGGTACCTTGCAGTACAATTTCAGAGAGATCCATACACTTGAACACAAATTATTGTCTGGAAACTAGAAAAATGCTTGGGTTTTTTGCACCTTTTTGGCCCCAAATTCCTTAAAGTTTAGGGCAATTACCCCCAAACTCAAACCCAGCTTTCCCTTTGTGATATGGAACCTTGCAGTACAATGTCATAAAGATCCATACACTTACACACAAGTTATTGTCATGAAACTAGAAAAATGCTTGTTTTTTTGCCCCTTTATGGCCCCTAATTCCTAACATTTTGAGACAATTACCCCCAAAAACAATCCCAGCCTTCCCTTTGTGGTATGGTACCTTGCAGTACAATGTCAAAGAGATCCATACACTTGAACACAAGTTATTGTCTGGAAACTAGAAAAATGCTTATTTTTGGCCCCTAATTCCTAAACGTTTTGGGCAAGTACCCCCAAACTCAATTCCAGCTTTCCCTTTGTGATATGGAACCTTGTAGTACAATTTCATAAATATCCATACACTTACACACAAGTTATTGTCATGAAACTAGAAAAATGCTTGTTTTTTGCCCCCTAATTCCTAAAATTTGGAGGCAATTACCCCCAAAATCAATCCCAGCATTCAAACCCTCAATCAGCATCATTTAACAGTAATATCTAAAAATGGAAATTACATAATAAAGGTATTAAAATAGAAAATGACATCATAGTCATGGCTAAAAATAAACAAAATCCTTAATCAGCAACATTTTACAGTAATATCTAAAAATAAAATTCCTTTGTAACCATAAAAGCCCATTTAAATACATCATGACAGATATTAAAATAGAAAATGACATCATAGTCATGGCTAAACATAGCAAAAACCTTAATCAGCATCATTTAACAGTAATATCTAAAAATAAAAATTTCTTTGCAACCATAAAAGTAAAATAGAAAATGACATCATAATCATAGCTAAAAATAAACAAAATTTTTTTTTATTACCAAATTTTAAATGGAGTTTATTAAACTAAAACAATAAATTTGCAACCATAAAACCCCATTTAAACACATCATAAAAGTATTAAATAATTCAACTACATCATAAGGCTATAAAAATAGAAAATGACTTCATAGTCAAGGCTAAAGGTAAACAAAAAACCTTCATCAGCAAAATTTTATATTGGCAAATTTCCAATGAAGTTTATTACACTAAAATTGTTGGCAAATTTCCAATGCATTTATTAACAATAAAGTTATTGGCAAATTTCCAATTTACATAATTTAAAAGCAGTGTAAGTGAGATATTTAAATGAGTTTGAATTACCAACCTTACACTGCTTTTAAATAATGTTTTGTACTTATTTGTCTATTAACCTGGAAACCCTTGTTTTTTCACCTTTTTTTCCCTTATTATTTAAAGGTTTGAGCCATAACCCTACCCCAAAGCCAATTCTTAAATTCCAATGTAACCTAAATTTACAATATACATAACTTCAATTTAAGTTTTTGATAAAATCAAACCACATCATTATTATTTGCTTTTATATCTAAATCAGAAATAATTAACCAACTTTAAGTGGAAAATTTTCACACATCACGCCCCCCCAAACTCAATCCCAGCCTTCAGTTTGTGGTATGGTACCTTGCAGTACAATTTCACAGAGATCCAATTACTTAAACACAATTAATTGTTGGAAACTAAAAAAAAATGCTTATTTTTAACCCCTTTTTTAGCCCCTTATTCCTAAACATTTGAGCAATTATCCCCCAAACTCAATTCCAACTTTCTCTTTGTGATCAGAATTAACCAACTTAAAATGGAAAATTTTAAAGAAAAAAAAAAAGGAAAAAAAATCCCCCCCCCCAAATTTTTTGACCCACTTCCCTTTGTGGTATGGTACCTTTAAGTACAATTTCAGAGAAATCCATACACTTGAACACAAGTTAATGTCTGGAAACTAAAAAAATGCTTATTTTTGCCCCCTTTTTTGGCCACTTATTAATAAATGTTTTGGGCAAACATTTTACAATAATATTTAAAACTAAAATTAATTTGTAACCTTAAAATTAAATAGAAAATGACATCATAGTCATAGCTAAAAATAAACAAACTATTGGTAAATTTCCAATGGAGTTTATTATATTAAAACAATAAATTTGCAACCATAAAAGCGCATTAAAATACATCATAAAAGTATTAAAAAAAATTTAACTACATCATAAGGCTATTAAAATAGAAAATGACATCATAGTCAGACTAAAGGTAAACAAAAAACCTTCATCAGCAAAATTTTATATTGGCAAATTTCCAATGAAGTTTATTATACTAAAATAATTGGCAAATTTCCAATTTACATAATTCAAACATAGTGCAGGTGAGATATTTAAATGAGTTTGAATTACCAACCTTACACTGCTTTTAAATAATGTTCTTTACTCAATTATTTGTCTATTAAAATGGAAACCCTAGTTTTTTAACCTTTTTTCCCCTTATTCCTTAAACGAAAAAAAATAATTACCCCTTTTTTGACCCCCCCCCCCCCCCTATGATTCATCACCCCCCCCCTTCCCCCCAAACCAAGCTCAATAACAGCCTTGCCTTTGTGGTATGGTACCTTGTAATACAATTTTAGAGAGATCCATACACTTGAACACAAGTTATTGTCTAGAAACTAAAAAATGCTTATTTTTCACCCCTTTTTAGGCCCCTTATTACTAAACGTTTTGGGCAATTACCACAAAACTCAATTCCAGCTTTCCCTTTGAGAAATGGAACCTTGTAGTAAAATTTCAGAAAGATCCATACACTTACACACAAGTTATTGTCATGAAACTAGAAAAATGCTTGTTTTTTGCCCCCTTTTGGCCCCTTATTCCTAAAATTTCGAGGAAATTAACCCCAAAATCAATCCCATCATCGACCCTTTGTGATATGGAATCTTGTAGTACAATGTCAAAGAGATCCATACAATAACACACAAGTTATGTTTGGAAGTTACAAAAATGCTTATTTTCGGCCCCTTTTTGGCCCCTAATTATTTAACTGTTGGTACCATAACCCCCAAAATCAATCCCCACCTTCCTATTGTGGTATTGAACCTTATGGTAAAATTTCATAGAGATCCATTCACTTAAACTAAAGTTAGAGTGCGAAAACCATTGTGTATTCGGACGACGACGCCGGACGACGACGCCGGACGACGACGCCGGACGACGACGACGACGACGACGACGCCAACGTCATACCAATATACGACCACAAAATTTTTTTGCGGTCGTATAAAAATTACATGGAACATTGTCTCATGTGTGTTCAAAAACATATTTTGTAATTTTTAGAAGTAATCATACGAAAAAGTTAATACATTTCTAGAACTTACTTCCTCATCAAAATCAGTTTTCTTATTCTTTCCCTTTTTCTTTTTCTTCTTTTCTTTTGTTCTGATGGAGTCTGCAAGAGTTATGTTCGTGTAATATTAAACAACTGGATGAAAGATTATTATTTAACTGACATTATATACTTTTATCCAAAAAATTCAATTAACATCTGATTTTATTAAAAAAAATATCAAATAAAAACTTATGTTTCATTTTAAAAGTTATCTTTGGTCATAACACATGGCAGGATAGTATAAGTGGTAAATAGAGAAAGGTATGAAAACAAGAATATTGCTAGTTTCACACGGACTTCCAGATAAAAATCAAGGCAAAATTTAATTTGTGAATATTGATTTATCACAAAAATGAAAATTGAAAAAAACCAAACTACAAACTTAATTATTTATTTGAAAATTTATCATCCTGTGAGACATTCCCTCAACATTAAGTTTTATACCAGCTGTCATTTCTTCATCTGAAGATTCTTCTTCCTCCATATCTTCGTTGTCTGAGTTATCTACATTTACTGGGTCTTCGTCATCATCAGCAGCTATCTAAATAAATGTATCACAAAATTAAAATAAAGAGCTGTGCAATGAGCGCATGATATGCCTGTCGCCTTTTTAAGGTAGTCATTATGCTTAAAATGAATTTATATGATCAACAAGAGATACTGTGAGCACTGCTCAAATATACTCCTACCCCAAACAAAAAAAAACATAAAACAAGAGGCTCTCAAGAGCCTGAATTGCTCACCTGATTTGTTAAAGCTTAATTCATTCATCAATCATGATTTTTATTTTTGAGTAATAATGTATATCGGTGTTTGCTTAAAAATGCACCTTTTTTTTTGGGGGGGGGGGGGGGGGGGGGGGGGGGGGTGCGGGGTGTCATATATGCCTCAAAATAAATATCTAAGTTACCGGTATGTTCTTAGTGCTTAAGAGATAAAATATAACAAGAATTCTGTGAGTATTGCATGGCAATACATAATCCCCTAGTGGTTAAAAATCATTGTATTGGAACAAAATTCTAAGTTGATCTATTATCTATAATTAAACCTGGTGAAAAGGAGTTGAACTAAGTCTTGTAGTTTCAGAGAAAAAGTAATGATTCAAGAAGAAAATTGTGAAAAATAAATCTTTCAAGGGAAATAACCAAAACTATAATTTCTCCCAAAAAAAAAATTCCTACAGTAACCCAACAACAGATTGGCAATTTGTTCTGAACACGTTCATGCAGATAGATCAATACTATTTTTCTCATTTACATTTTCTTCTTATCTACTATAATTTTCAAGAAAATAAACAAAATCTAAAATTTCTTATAAATAACTACTTCTAACAGTAACCCAACAATAAATTTTCCAAATTCTCCAATTGGCATGAAAATTTCATAATAGATAAATATTTACCTAATCATCACTCTAACTCTCTTTCACGTTTGCTCTAACTGCTTTAGTTTTTGAGATGTAAGCCAAAAACTGCATTTGACCCCTATGTTTTATTTTTAGCCATGGCGGCCATGTTTGTTGATGGATCAAAACTTCGGGTACAATTTTAACCTAGATACCCTAAGGAACATTTATTTAAAGTTTGAATGTATTTGGCCCAGTAGTTTCAGAGAAAAAGATTTTTGAAATAGTTTACGACGAGAGATGACGAAAATTACCAAATTAGTGGCAGCAACCCAACAATGGTTTGTTTGATTTGTTTGAAAATTTCAGGGCTGGTAGATCCTGACCTGTTTAACATTTTTATTATATGTCAGATTTGCTCTAAATGCTTTACTTTTTGATATATGAGCAAAAAACTGCATTTGACCCCTATGTTCTATTTTTAGTCATGGTGGCCATGTTTGTTGATGGATCAAAATTTCGGATACAATTTATAAACTAGATACCCTAAGGAACATTCATTTAAAGTTTGAAGGTATTTGGCCCAGTAGTTTCAGAGGAGAAGATTTTTTAAATAGTTTACGACGACAGACGACGGACGCAAAGTGATGGCATAAAAAAGGGCACTCAGAGGTACACATTGACACAAAATGACCATTTTTCAATGAATAAAGGTCCATAACTCCACAATTTCATATCAGAGATTTATAAAAAAAAACAAAAGGGAGCTTATTACAATAGACATAAACAAGTCACCAAAGTTTCATGAAAATTGCTCAAAGTATTTTTGAGTTATAGTCAGAAAACTAGAAAATCAACCATTTTTTTATGAATAAAATCTCATAACTAGGAAAAGTAAAATCTAAAATTTATAAAAATCGAAAGAGAGCTTACGTCAATAGATATAAAAAATTCACCAAAGGTACAGGAAGATTGGTGAAAGCGTTTTTGAGTTATTGTCTGAAATGTTGATGACAGGCGGACTGAGGAATTGGACAACAGTATTCCATAATATGTCCCGTCTTTAAAGAAAGGGTGTATGAAAAATGACAGAATCTACTCATGAGTCTCTTTATTTCAATTGAGCAACTACCACAATAAAATTAAATCTGATTAAAGTCCAAATTATCAAATGAATATATAATGATTGACATACTAAAATGTCTCACACAATGTTTCGACAGTAACATAATTGGTCAATAGACTATGACACTTGGGTCATTACACCTATCAGATAGACAGGTATATTTGAAGAAACTTCTCTTTCTGAGTTATTATTTATTCTATTATTTCATCTGTATTGTTTGTTTGAGTCAACACACATACTCATGGTCAAGTCTTTCTCAGACTGTTTATGAAGTCTTTCACTAAATCCCTTGAATGTGTAATGATTGATATTTTTAAGTTTCAAAAAATGATTTATTCATAAGTTGTAATTGGCTTTGAACTAGATTTTACTAACTGTGAGTACTCTAAGAGTACACAGATTCCACTGTACCACACAGCTCTTGAAGGGGTACTTCGCAAATCTGAGGAATTTACGTACATACATACTACATGTATTGGTACTTTGTGTGTTTAGTCTTTTTGTTAGTTGTTTTTTGTGCTTTTTGTCGATCTGAGGAGTCAAGCCTTTTTCCACAGATTTTCACATTTTGCTCTAATGATTTTTATGTCCAAGGTAAGGGGATGGTTGAGCCATCACAAACATGTTTAACACCCATACATTCTGTATGTGCCTGTCCCAAGTCTATCATAACTGTTTTCAATTGATTTTTTGTACATAAATTAGGCCTTTGGTTTTCTTGCATGTTTGAACTGTTTTGTCAGGATGACGCCTTTTATAGCTTACTATACAGTATTAGTTTGCTCATTGTTGAAGCTGTATGGTGACATATAGTTGATTACATCTTCATCATGTGGTCTCGGGAGAATAGTTGTCTCATTAACAATCATACCACATCTTCTTTTTTTTATATTCACTATTAAAATCAGACCTCTATTCCGCTTGGTTATCAAAACCTAAATTGACATCAAAGCATTGAAGATGTTCAAAGAATTCTAAAGGCTTTAAATCGTGGTTATAAAGGAAATGTATAATATGCTTACCTCTTTCTTCTTTCTTTTTCTAACTTTGGCAATCTTTTCATCTAGAGTGGTGGGTTCCCTTTTTCTCTTTGCAAATTTAAGGGCATGGTCGAAATTAAATGCTGATTGTGGATCAAACTAATTTAAAGAAAAATAAACTCTTTTCATATGTGGAAAGATTGAGTCATAATTGTCGAATATAAAGCTAAAAACAATCAGTGGCGTAGCTTCACCTGTGTTTCTAGTGAGAAAAAAGAAGTAAAGACCTCAGCGTGGGTCAAGGACCGCAATGCTGGTTGGGCCAGGGGGACAAAGCCTGAGTCAAACAAGACTTTTCAGCATTTATAGATGCCAAGGGAGATTTTTTATATTGTTTAACGTTCAGTGGCAAATACTTCATGCATTTTCAGGACTAGAACATATCAGCAATAAATCAAGTAGATTCTGAAAAATGGTGGAGTAGGATGAAGGGCAAGTATATTCTGACTTCAACTGTAAAGAGGATACATTGCATCTTGGAAAGAAGTATTGCAAAATTCCACCTACGGACTTCTTAATGCCACATGTGGAGCAGGATCTGCTTACCCTTTCGTAGCACCTGAGATTACCCCCAGTTTTTGGTGGGGTTCGTGTTGCTCAGTCTTTAGTTTTCTATGTTGTGTTTTGTGTACTATTGTTTGTCTGTTGGTCTTTTTCGTTTTTAGCCATGGCGTTGTCAGTTTATTTTCGACTTATGAGTTTGAATGTCCCTTTGGTATCTTTCGCTTCTCTTTTAATGAGCTGTTGCAGGTCGTTTTTTTATCGTGCAGAGAGCAAGATACACTGCCTACACAAGGCATCAAGTTTAACCCTTTTCTGAAAAGAAGTATACATGCATTATAGCCTAGGTGGTCGAGTGGTCTAGCGCGTCGGATACAGTGCAGGCGATTTGGTGTCACGATATCTCAGTAGCATGAGTTCGAATCCCGGCGAGGGAAGAACTAAAAATTTGGGAAAGCAAATTTACAGATCAAACATTGTTGGGCTGATGTTTAGACGAGTTGTATATTCAGAATGTACACAGCCATGTATCACCATCACTGGTGGTGATCCGATGGATAAATCTGTTGTAGAGTTGTCACTGTTTCAGACGTACTTATAAATATAATTATTTCTGTGACAGTATCTTGCATTAATTTGTAGGATCCTTTACAATAGATATTTCAGCTGATCTGTAACAATTCCATCTTCATGCCTTATATATCATGTACTGTATTACGACGCTAGATTAAAACTGACGAGGAAAGGTAACACCCAGCCACCGAAAGCTTTTATTATTTTTGTGAAGCCTAGGTGGTTGAGTGGTCTAGCGCGTCGGATACAGTGCAGGCAATGTGGTGTCACGATATCTCAGTAGCATGAGTTCGAATCCCGGTGAGGGAAGAATTAAAACTTGCGAAAGCAAATTTACAGATCTAACATTGTTGGGCTGATGTTTAGACGAGTTGCATATTTATAAGTATATATATGCCACATAGCCAACCAGAGGCTATCACTCTGCAGTTGCGTCATTCCCTCAATGGAAGCTTGGCCACTGACAATATACATGTAAATCTAAAGTCATTACAATCTATAAAATTATTAATAGAAATTTTATATTTTTTTGTGGTGCAGAATACCATTTGTGTACTGTAAAGTATCATAATTTCAGCAGACAAAAATACAACGAAAATTTCATACATGGCTGATTATGTGTAAGAATATGTAAGTATTGTATAAACATGATGAGCAATGAATCTGAAAATGTATCACATAATGTATATTATACTCATGTGAAGTTTGATAACAAATTTCAAGAAGCTCTGATTTGTAGTTCCTGTCAGATAAAAATGCAATGGAAATTCTATGGGATAGACAGACAGAAGGACAGAGATACCTACAGACAGACGTAAACCTGTATAGCACCTGTTTAGAAGTGGGGTAAATAAGGCATCTAGAACAACTGTAAATTCAGAAAATTTTGCCTGCATTCACAGGGACTAAACTTAACTCTTTTTCTCCAGAGGCCAGCTGGGCCCCCAAAATATTTTTTTCAGGGGCCCAGTTGAAATGTTAGGGGCCCAACCAATTTTTATACTAATAAAATAAAACTTAAATGTACTTTTCATATACTAATAAAGTCTTTTTAGGTAATCCTATATGTAACTTTTGAGTCTGGTTAAGATTATGTGTGATAACTTTATAATATTTGAATTATTGCCACCAGAAATATATCATAAGATTTGACAATATTGATTTTAGAACATTTCCCACCAAAATTGTCTCCCTTCAATTTGAACGTCATGTTGATATTTTGACGACAATATGGCTGTTTCTATGAATCATTGAATGCTATTTCAAATCCAAGCCATCATCTTATAGTGTTGATCAAAAATATTATTTAATTACTTTTTATTGAAGATTCAATAGCAACCTAGATATTTTGATATTTATTTACGAGATTTTGCGTTTCGTTTTGTCATTGAAGAACAAGTTGTGTATACTAGTTTATCGTCAAATACAGGCTTGTGATTTCCTTGACAACAGGAATACATCTTTGAAGCAATGCAGATTCAACATTGTAGATGAAAACACTAAAAAATAATGAAATAATCGTAGAAGCTTTTTAAAAAAGAGAGATAAGAAAACGTGTTTAGAGAAGGGGTATATGTCAAATCATCACTTCGCATTGAAAACTTAATTGTCAGACCGGGTTTTGGTTATTAAAATGAACTTACTGGTTTCCGGACTGGAAATCCTCCTTTTAATTTATCCCGCTTTGTTTAGACAATCAGGTTTCCGTTTGGGAACAGGTTTTTGTTTAAGGAAGGGTATAAATGGGATTCACTGCAAAATATTTTACAGTCGCACAATATGATAAAATATATTCGCCCAGCCGAAAATCTAGCCGCGTTTGGTGACTGGGCGACGGTTAAGTCCCTGATTCATTATTAGGATTGTTGAAATATGGACAAAAATGCAAGGTTGACTATTGTGTTTTAAGGAAATGTTGCATACAGACAATGCTATCTTCCATGGTTAACAAACACCAATACCCCAACCACCTGGGTTTGAATTATAACTGGATAAGAATATTTTTGTAAATAACATATATATAACATGCCTTTAAAGACTAAAAGACTAAAATTACCTGATCTGTAAATGAAAAACTTTGGTTAAAACTATTTATCTGTGATTTTTTCTTCTTTTTGACTTTTTCTCCTGCTGGAGCCTTTAAAAGACAATTATGAAAATTATCTGTGAGTAATAAATTAACATGACATTATCAGAGTTAATCATGTGTTAATCATGTGTTAATATGGTTAATGGAAAAGTCAAATTCAACATTTTACTAGTTACAAATTCTTTAACCTGTGGCATGTTCCTAAAGTCTGCTTGTTGTATAACATCTTTGAATATCTTCCAGCTTCTGTCCAGATGGAGAGCAGCAATAACAGTTATAATGGTTATTACTTATATTAAGTACAATTTATTTGTTTTGATTTGAATACACTATTGGTCTATGAGCAGCCTCACCATTTCCCTTTGTTTGCAATAAGATTGTTTTTCGTTAATTGTTCTTTCTTGTGTTGTTCTATTGTACCACTGTCCCAGGTTTAGGGGAGGGTGGGTTCCCACTAACATGTTTAACCCCGCCACACTCTGTATTTGACTGTCCAAGTCAGGAGCCTGTAATTAAGTGGTAGTCTTTTGTTGCTGTATATAATATTTTTTTACTTTTATTGTTCTGTACATAAATCAGGCCGTTGGTTTTCTCGTTTGACATGTTTGAATGGTTTTAAAATGTACGTTTGTCATTTCAGGGCCTTTTATAGCTTGCTATGCTGTATGGGTTTTGCTCCTAGTTGAAGGCCATACAGTGACCTATAGTTGCTTTCTTGTTCGTCATTTGGATAGTTATCTCATTGGCAATCATAATACATCTTCTTGTTTTTATATGGCTGTATCTTTCCTGCATTTTGTGGTTGGTTATGACACAATTGTCAAAACTTTCATTATAAAGTGTTAGTTGTTTTCCATATCAGTGGTAGACCAGAATGGCAAATGTTCACAATTTGTATTACAAATTTACTATGATTTTGGTAAATCTGCTCCCAAACACTTAAAAATTTATGGCAAATCAACATGGTAATGGCACATTTTCCATGTCAAGGTAGATTTACCATTTTCAGATTAAAGTTCATTAAACTGTTGACAGTGTTGTGAATTGTTACATAGTTCAGGAAGATTACCAGTCACATCCATATTGTATTATCAATGAAAGAGTAGTAATGGGATACCCCACATGACGAAATGACCGTAAAATATTTGTTAAAATAACAATAACGATAAATATTTTACTCCATTTGATGCTTAACAGTAGCTAGATAATTAAGTTTGACAAATGACAATAAAAAAATTTAGGCTCATTTGAAGCTAACAGTAGCGAAAAAAGGACGCTTGACGATAAAGGGCATTCCTACCCTCATGGAATTTGAGATTCAAAACAGCAGCTACACTAACTAGTCACTACTCAAAGAGGGAATGGAATGGAACATTATATAATACGGAACACTGTGTCTACAAAGTGAATGTGAAATAAAATATTAATATTTTATCTGCTTACACAATACAAAAATAAATACATTCTGGTAACTTATGCAGTTCATCTAAATTTTGTTGAATGTCCACCAACCCCCTTTTTTAAATGTAGCTGAATGTCTGAATTTTCAACAATTAAATATTTTAAATTGAATTGAATATTGAAAAGAATATAACCTGAAATAATTGAGGTTTTAAAAAAACTTTTCAACAGATGCCATTCAATGTTCGATGTTCAAACCACATGGTCTTCTGTGATGTACTATTTTTTCAGATCCTGTAATGTCGTACCTGTGGATTGTGTGCATTCTAAACTTGTTACCAATACTATTTTTATAAATGTTTGTTCCGTAAATACCTCATCTTCACTTGAAGAACTTTCTGGTGCTAGATTTAAAGAATCATTCTCTTCGATTGTAGCAATAAATCCAAGTTTTCGGAGTTCAGCCATATTGCTAATGCAACTGGTACAGCCATAGACCGAATATTTTACAAAAGAAAGCGCACCACAAAAAAAAGGCAATTATTACATAATTTATTGTTCAGTGGCGCTTTGGAGCAAATAATGGAAGACATCGATTCCAACTGAGATTACTGTAACACATTATAGAAATTATAGATTCCAACTATATCAAAATATTTACTCATTCTTAATCGAAGAAGAATACTATAACAAACTTATCAAGTTCTGGTTACCAATTCAACACTGTAATTAGATCTTTGACTTTTGTTTTTATCGGTATAAATATTGATTTTGTTATCAGAAATTTAAAACCAAACTAAATTTTATTGTTATATACATATGTACATTAACGGTTTTACCATCTGTGGCTACCTATATTTTGGCATTGCACAAGGTTGTGTTATTCTATGACCGTTAAAGACGTTTTTACACTAAATCCATTGGATGGTGGATGTGTACTGAGTTGATATTTGATTTTTAGACACACAAGATTTGTTAGTTTTTATTGACATTAAACTAGCTTTCAGTATATATGCCGAATATTGAATAATTGAATTCGTTTACGAATAAAAGTTTTCAAGTTGTATTTGAATATATTACATAGTTACATATGGGATATACTATATATATTCATTATATACTTAGTAGTAAAAAAGATAAATTGTATGTGTAATATGATCAATGGCAATTGTCCTGTATCGATCAGTCATCCGTGATGATATCGATATCAGTCACGGTTACAAAGGCTTTATCACACCCCTAATCTGTATGACGTCACGGTCATCGATATCAGTCACGCTTTATCAAACCCTTAATCTGTATTACGTCATGTCACGTGAAAAACATCTACTTGAGGTATATAATAAAGTGTATATGATCGGATATGTATACAATATATATAGTAATTTATAGAAAATATCATATGGCTTTTTCAACATCACACACCGTATCAACCCTCAACCAATATAATCCCTCGAACAGAGCTCTTGGGATTGGATGTGATATTGAAAAAGCCATATGATATTTTCTATATATTACTATTCCCAGTATATATTGAAATGCATTAACGTAACAATAACACAATTAACGTAACCGTAGACAAAAATATTATTGTTACGTTCATAGTTAATCATTTTTTAACCTAACCGTTGCTAGCATTCGGGCAATTAGTTTCCAACGTAACAATGAATTTTTGTTATTGTTACGTTTCCAACGTAATCGTAGCCAGTGCCTATATCAAAACTGAACTAGGACCAAAATGTAAATGTATCGGTCCCCGGTTTGAACAAGGACAACCACATTTAATTGCAGGTTTATAAAAACCTAGGGTGTTTTGTTGTTTTAACAATTATAGTTTATTTCGGAATTATAGTCATATTTTTTACCTTTATTACCGGCAATTATAGTGTCCAACGTAACAATGTTTATTTTTGGTATTGTTACGTTTCAGCGTAATCGTAGCCAGTGCCATTTAGATATAAACAGCGAACATCTGCATTCAAAAGACTTGTTCTTCTTTTCTTCGTATGAGCTTCCTCTATGAGGAACACCCCTATTTTGAGGGTAATATAGGTAAAGGTCTTTTGATTATATACACACTCCGTATATGTATACAGTTGCTAAAATCTAAAATAAAGTTTAAACTTTCTGAGGATGAGCGATAATTGTCAACAGCCATTACACACTTAGCAAATTTAATCTTGTAACACATATTTCTTGTTAACTTTTCTAGTTCTTCTATTTTGAGCCTGCTCTCACTGAATATATGAGTGAAGTTTGTACAGTCTACAATAAGAACTGTGATTTTATGTCTATGTATAAAGGTCTCTTTCCATTTCCATTCTCCAATAAATTGGGTAATATAAATTTTGATTAGCGTAAAGGTTTCTTTTCTGGTCTCACTTAACGCTGATCAGGTAGTAAGCATATGCGGAAGGTCTTCTGGTTCTTGATTACACAATTGACATGTTGGAGTAATTTCATATTTACTAAATTTATGTCGATCAACTTGTAGGGTATATGTTGTCGTCATCATCCTAATTTTGATAATACCTTTCTGAACATCTACAATTGTAGGTTGCAATGTAGTGTAGGAGATGTGCGGCTTTCCAATTTTAATACTCTTTACAGCTAAATATTTAAGTGATGTCTTCTGGACTGTATCAATTTAAAGAGCATTATTCCTGTAGTTTCACATTTTGATTAGGTTTACTGTTGTTTTCCATTTAGATTTTATAGGCAAATTGCTTTGAAATCCCCATATGTTTGGAAGACTGTATTTTTGAAGTGTTTCCATTGCACCAAAGAAGAAACTTTTTGGATTGTCAACGTTGATTAATGATTGGCGTTGTAAGAGATCGTGAATAGTTTGGTTTTTGGCCGATAATAGTGAATAGAGCATAGATAATTGACGCTTGTGTAGTTCTCCTTCAATTGGCATTGCTCCTAGTAGTAGATATATTGCTGATGTAGCTGTTCTTTGAGGCAGTGATTGGATATGTCTAAAGGTATTTTTGTGAAACTTTTCTAGTATTTCTATTTGACTTTTAGTAAGTGGTAGTATTTCTAAGCCATATAGAAGCCGTGGGAGAATATATGTCTTGTAGATGTTATATCCTGTGATTGGGTCAACCCCGTTTGTTCCATGGAGGCCTGAGTATTTTGTTCTTCTGGCTAGTTTAATACGGTCATCAATGTTGATTTCATTTTCTCGTTTATTTTTTCTTTGAAGACCTAAATGTGTTGTAGCATTTGTTGGTTCGATAATTTTTCCTTTCCATTTATTGTCAATGTCTTTCGTATTGCACTGTACGATTTTAGTTTTTGTTGAATGGATGTTATATTGATGTTGATCTGCATATCTACCTATAATGTCTAGCATTTCAGATTGTCGGACCTCAATAGGGCCTTAACATCTGCACATGTATGTGCGCCTATGTATATATTACCTAGGTGGAAGCCAATCGAGTTGTTTTTGAGTTCTTCAAGTTGGGTTTGAACGTACAGTTTATAAAGGTGGGTAGAGAGAATGCCTCCTGGTCTTACACATTGTCTGATATTAAAAGTGTCACTAGTGCCCCCCATCCATTTTACTTTTGATTCTAGATCTTTATATAATCCCTTGATTAATTGTAAGAGATCTGGAGGAATATTTTGGTCTAGTAGGTTGTGCCTTAGTATGATATGTTTGACTACATCAAAAGCTGATTGTACGTCTACTGTTGTTATGAATAATGGTATATTCTTTGGAAGTTTTTCACATTTTGCTTCTGTTATGAGTAAACTTGCCATGAGAGGACATAATCCTTCTGTGAAACCAAATTTAGATCTGGACCCGGTTGTAGTTGAACCGTCTTTAGTATGCATGGTTCATACACTTTTCCAATAATGGGAGTAACATTAATTCCTCTGTAGCTCTTTACATCTAGAGGGTTTTTTTCCACTCTTTATAACTGGAGTTAGAATTCCCGTTTTAAAGGCTTTTAGAATGGAGTTGGTCTCCTTGATCTCATTAAATAAAGTTGTTAAAACTGGTGTTAATACTATTTGGCATACTTAAGATGTTCGGCTGTGAGCCCGTATTCGTCTGGTGATTTCCCTATATTTAAGTTTTCAATTGAGTTTTGAATTTCCTTTTCAGTATGTGGGTCAGATGTAACTGGATTTTCTTTGTAAAATTTCTCAATCAGGTTTTGGCGTGTTTTGCAAAGTTCTATATAAGAGTTGTCATATTCAGATTCTTTTGGCATACTTAGATCTTAATAGTATTGAGCAAATACTTTTCTTCGGTTTGAATGAGAGTATTCCTTTTCGCCATCTATTTCTAAACAAGTTGTATAAATCCGATGTCCCGTGTTCAGGGAGTACCACGCTCTTTGCACGCTAAAGATCCTTCTCAACAAGCTCTTTTTTAGTGGTCCATAAAGTGACCGGTTGTTTGGCAAAATTATTTCATACTGGTTTTAGGTTTGATATATTTTTCTGTGGTTTATAATTTAACTAGTTGAAATTTGGTTTTCATGGTCTAACTTTTGTCTAAAATCTGTTAGTATTCCTACTTTGATGAGTTGAGTCTTTTTTCAATTAATGTTTTAAATTGTGTCCTTTTATGTCGTATTGTTACACCACTGTCTCAGGTTAGGGTGAAGGTTGGCGCCAGATAAAACGTTCAAACCCGCTGCATTTGTTTACACCTGTCCTAAGTCAGGAACCTGATGTTCAGTGGTTGTCGTTTGTTGATGTGGTTCATAAGTGTTTCTCGCGTTTTCCGTTTTTTATATAGGTTAATTAGACCGTTGGTTTTCCTGTTTGAATGGTTTTACACTAGTCATTTTGGGGGCCCTTTATAGCTTGCTGTTCGGTGTGAGCCAAGGCTCCGTGTTGAAGGCCGTACTTTGATCTATGAAATGGTTTACTTTTACAAATTGTGACTTAGATGGAGAGTTGTCTCATTGGTACTCATACCACATCTTCTTATATCTATGTAGTATTATTTCTTGATTTTCGGTTTCTATTTATTATCCTATAAAAAAGTATGGTTGTGGGTTTTTCCATGATATCTGCTGATTGAGATTTTTTTCTAGCAATGGCTTGTTCTATTCTTTGTGAGTTTCTTAGAAGTTTCTTGGCTTTTCTCAATTCAGTAGGTGTTGGATGGTTTTGTGGCCGTCCCTGATTTTTCCAATGGGAATAGAGTAATTTACATGATATCGATGTTTTCGAACAGTTGGTGTTGCTTTCCATTTTGGCCCTTGTAACTTAATTGGTTTCGTTGGAACTGCTAATTTTGTTGCTTTGATTAATTCATTTGTAATAGTTTGAAGTTGGTCTGAAGTTGATTCATCATATTGAATTTTAAGGAGTCCTTCTGATAACTTTGAGTTATATGTTTCAGTGTCTATTTCATCCCAGAGTAGTTTCTTCCGATGGTTTTCTATTTGCTCCACTTGGGATTTTTACAATAGTGTTTGTTTCTACTGGCACATGAGCTGAGCTATTTGTAGCTGAACGGTTCCAAATTTTGTATTGTTTGTTTATTGCTAAATTTCTAAGCAGAATGTAGTCGATTTGGGAGGATGATTCTCCAGAATGATGAAAGAAAGTCATTTTTGATTTATAATTTCCTGCATTTTGAAGGCCTAATTTTTGTACAAAGTTTTTCACTAGTTTATCATGTTTGTTCGATCTTGATTGTAATAAGGTTCCAATGAGATCCCCGCAAAAGATTATTTCATAGAGATCCTGATATTTTTGTATTATATCATAGGCTATATATAGACATGCAGAGTACTCATATGACGAGTCTTTGTCGTTTGTTGGTAAGTATGCATTGATTATGCATAGATTGTAGTTTGAGGATAGAGTAATTGCTACAATTCTTTCATTTCCCTCTTTTGATTTCTTTACCTTCCCACTCCAGGAGATTGGCCATAAAATAGAGACCCCTGATTGGCCTTTTGGAAGTTTTGTATATCTGGGTCTTCAGGTTGAGTGGTCTCTTCTTTCAAATTCACCATTTTTTGGTACAATGCTCTATGTTTGACTCAGTTGTACTAATTGTATGGTTTATATTGGTAGTTTGTAATTGCTCATGTTGGTTGGAGTATGTGCTACCATCTTTGTGTTGTTCAGTTGTCTTTGTTAGATTTATATTGGTGCCCTATTGTTCATAGGAAGACTATAGTTTGCCTTATAGAGGTTGACCGCAATGTTGTGGTTGGTTGAATAGTTGATGTAGATTGCCTTTGTTGATAGCTTGCATGGCTAGGCCTAGTTTGTTGTGAAGTCTGTTGTTCATATCTAGGCGGATGGATTGTTGTTGGCACTTGTGGAGCTGCATGATGTCTTGGTACATTTTTACCATGATTTGGCAATGTTAAAAAGTGAGGCATTCCTCCAGGATTTAGATAGTAAGCGGATTGTTTTGTATTGGATAGACATGTTGTGGAGTACCTTTTTGGTGCATGCGTCCTCCATAGAAATTGTTAGGAAAATGTGTAGCGTATCCCATTTGATTTAGATAGGCATATTGTCCATGAAATAGTGGAGGTTGTGCAAAAGGTATGTGGGTTGGTTGATGGTTTGCTATTCTCGATTGTAGAGAGACATGTAGGTTTATAGCAATTCTTAGACTTATATGATTTTCAAGAGAGCGTATACGTTGTTCCATTAGCTCTTGCTGGTGGTTGCAAGATTGTTGTCTAGCGTTGCACGCGTGGTTGTGACAAGTACTACAGTTACTATATTGATGAGTTGCCTTGGTATATTGTTTTGGCAATTGTATGTGCTAGAGTTGCTTCCATATCTTGTGTTTGGAGTTTCTGTATTATTGTTCATAATTGGTGATGTGTTTTGCATAGTTTCAATCACTCTTTTCATTTGTAGATTTTCATTTTCTAAACTCAGAACATTCGTGCTGTCTGTGAGTTTGATATATTTCTTTCCTCTATTTTTTATTGATTTTTCGTTACATTCTTCTTATTTCGAAAGTTTATATTAGATGTTACAGTATTCGCTGGTTTGCTTGTAATACCAGTTGTAGCACTTTATCTATATGGCGTATTCCATAGCAAGTTGAGCATAACAGCTCAGATTTATAGAACGTTGTGTTGTTATATTTTGATAAACTTTTCGGGTGGTCAATAGTTATATTGTATGAATTTCCAGCAATAGTATTTTAGCCACACAATCGAATATATTTCATCATTCAATTTTGTTTTTATTTTTATCTGAAAATTTTACTGCATTCCTATATTGAATGTTAAAGAATCGGAAAACAGTTTTAACATCGATTTTTATTCGTAACTAAGTATAAAGAACTGGTTCCCCTCACACTTTGTTTTTGTTTATTTGGCGGGAAAGCTGCTTAATCATCACTATTTTTACTGGAAATTCAAGTTGCCAAATCATGGGAATTTTAGGATTGACAAAATTGCTTGGTGATCATGCTCCTGGCTGTATGAAAGAACAAGAGATAAAGAATTATTTTGGTACGATTCATTAGAAAACTGTAACTGTTGTTGAGCTACATTTGTAAATTGTAGATTGATGTTTTTTTTATATAATTTTCCCTTATAATCCTAAAGGTTTGTCCCATTTAAAAAAAAGAAAAACAACATAAAAATTAAATATTTTAGTAAGGAGTTTATTTCCCAGGGGTTTGCAAGAACTGTCAATGTATAGAATAGAATAGAATAGAATATCCTATAGAATATCTTTCATTTCCATAAGAGTACCCTCAAGTTGTCGGCTCAAGGGGCAAAGTTCATATACATATATGACAATATATGTATATGTATTACATAAAGTTACAATTACAAATACAATAAAGCAGAACAGCAAAACAGTATCCTAAAGTTAGACATTATAAATATTGCTATTAAACAGTGTCACAGTGTTACATAATAAATGTTTACTCAAGGCAGGTGTTTTTGATAAAAAACCTGTACTCCTGAGCTGCCCAGGAGGCGAAGATTAACACGTGTACACTCTACTAACAACTGATGTACCCTCTTTCCACACTTCTGATCTCAAGCACAGGTATTTAATCGTAGTAAAGCATTAATTATACGAAAACACGGTGTGCCATACACGATCAACCATGGTACTAAAATACTGTATTATTGTACTACCTGTCTTATTCTCACTATTTAATATTCTTGGTGCTAAGACAATATGCAACATAACACCACATACAAGACCACTTGCTTATAACATATTATCACAAATTCCATCTAATCATTATCCCATCATAAGTGTATTTGCACTCCAGAAAAGTAGTTGGGGCAGGCCAAATTCAGTCCAGATATTGCAAGCATTGAAACCAAAGGCTCCGCAACAAGTGCAGTCATACTTATTCATCCTGCTAATTGCAAATTCCTTTGACACAGAAACAAACCCTGGTCCTAGGTGGCCATGTGGAACATGTCAAAAGGCTGTTACATGGAAACATAAAGCACTTTGTTGTGACAGTTGTGATGTTTGGTATCACATTGATTGTCAAGGAATGTCACCTCAACACTATGGCTGTATGAATGCCAGTAACATCAGCTGGGAATGCATACAATGTGGTATGCCCAACTTCTCAACTAGTCTGTTTAACCACTCGACAATTGAAACATCAAATCTATATGACACATTGAATGATAACTCAGTATTGGGGAGCCCAGGTGCTCCAAAAGCCACATCCTCACCGATACCTAAACAATGTAAAAATAAAAAGAAACAGCGTACTACAAATAAAAACAGAAAACCTATTAGAGTTCTTAACATTAATTTCCAGTCCATTCGAAATAAAAAACCAGAACTTCTACAATTGATAGACTCTGCAAAACCAGATATCATCCTTGGTACTGAAACTTGGCTTGACAAAAACTCATCCTCGTTCGAATACTTCCCTACAGATCTTTATAACATCTATAGAACTGATAGACCACCAAGTAAAAACAACCAAAGCTATGGAGGGGTATTACTTGCAGTCACCAAAGAATTTATCAGCACAGAAATCCAAGAACTAAAAACTGACTGTGAAATCATTTGGGCACAAATAAACATATCGGGTGCAAAAAACCTTCTTGTTGGAAGTTATTATAGACCACCTTCAGATGATGGGAACTCCATAAAACAATTAGACTTATCATTAAGTAGAATAAATCAAACTTCAAACAGTAACATATTAGTAGGTGGCGATTTCAATCTAGGCCACATTGACTGGTCTGTCCCTGAGGTAATACCAGGGAAACCAGATCAAGAACAGCATAATTCACTTTTAGAACTACTATATGATCATAATTTACACCAAATAGTTAACATACCAACACGAAAAGAAAGAATCTTAGACTTAGTACTCGTCAATAATCCATCTAACATTAACAAGGTCAGTACACTACCACCAATAGGCCTTAGTGACCACGACATTGTCTATGTAGAATCTGACATCTGGTTACGCAGGGTGAGAGAAAAGCCTAAAAAAAAATATTAAAATATAACAAAGCCAACTGGAGTAACATCAAGTCAGATCTAGAAAAAACATACAATGATCTACAAAACCTAGAGGACAAAACAAATGTAAATGATATGTGGAACATATTTAAAACAAATCTTACACAATCAGTGGAAAACAACATCCCACACAAGTTCTTAACATACAAAAACAGACTACCTTGGATTCATAACAACCTCAGGAAAATGATAAGTAGAAAAAATAAATTATATTATAAAATGAAACAAAACATCAAGTATGCAGACAAGTACAAACATCTGAAAAAACAAGTACAAAAAGAACAGAGGGAAGCATATTGGGGTTATATTGAAAAAATGATATTGGATCTACCCATAAATGAACCGGACCAACCATGTAACAATCAGTCAAAACCTAAAAAACTGTTCTCCTTTATAAAATCACTGCGCACAGATAACACCGGTGTAGCTCCTCTGAAAAAAGAAGGACAGTTAATAGCAGACACAAAGCAAAAGGCAGACATCCTCAACACACAGTTCCAATCAGTGTTTACAACCGAATCAAATAACAGCATTCCAGACAAAGGTCCAAGCTCACACCCCACAATAACACCACTAGAAATATCACTACCAGGTGTCAAGAAACTTCTACTCAACATAAACCCACATAAGGCAACTGGCCCAGATAACATCAGTGGCAGAATATTAAAAGAACTCAAAGATCAAACAGCTCCAATTCTTACACTAATCTTCAAAACATCACTTGAAACTGGCATAACACCAACAGACTGGAAACATGCCAATGTGGCACCAGTATTTAAAAAAGGGGAAAAATACAAGCCAGAAAATTACCGCCCAATATCATTGACATGTATTTCCTGTAAACTTATGGAGCATATCATCACCAAACACATCATCAACCACCTTGAAAAGAACAATATACTGTATGACCTCCAGCATGGCTTCCGTCAGTCACGATCATGTGAAACCCAACTCATTTCATTCATCCAAGAGCTTGCAGCAAATAACAACAACAACACACAAACAGACTTAATTATAATGGACTTTGCCAAAGCATTTGACAAAGTCCCTCATAAAAGACTTCTCTATAAACTGAACTACTATGGTATTCAAAATGAAACACTAAACTGGGTCTCTGCCTTCTTAAATGACAGAACACAAACAGTTGTCCTGGATGGAGAGTCATCTGACCTGGCTCCAGTCACCTCAGGTGTCCCTCAAGGCACAGTTCTGGGCCCAGTATTATTCTTGGTATACATCAACGACCTACCAGAATACTTACAATCCAGTAAGCTCAGACTGTTTGCCGATGACAGTATCATCTACAAAACCATCAAATCTCAAAGTAACTGTGATGAACTCCAGTTAGATTTAGATGCAGCTGCTAGGTGGGAACAAGACTGGTTGATGGCTTTCCATCCAGACAAATGCACAGTCCTCACAGTATCACAAAAGAAAAAACAGTTTAAACATGACTATATCCTTCACAATCACAAACTTGAACTAGTCTCTTCAGCTAAATATCTGGGCATTACACTTCAAGCAAACTTAAAATGGTCAAAACATACAGACAACATCATAGCTAATGGAAACAAATCTTTGGGCTTCTTAAAAAGAAATTTAAAAACATCATGTCAGAACATCAAAACCCAGGCATATCTGGCACTAGTTCGTCCTAAGCTTGAATACTCATGTTCAGTATGGGACCCTCACACAGCTGAACAAACCTCTAAAATTGAGATGGTCCAAAGACGAGCTGCCAGATATGTCTGTAACAGGTACCATAACATCAGTAGTCCTACAGACATGATAAACTCACTAAACTGGCCCACGCTACAAGAAAGAAGACTACGCACAAGATTGATAATGTTCTACAAAATAGTACATCAAATCGTAGCAATCCCATCTGCTATTCTCATACCATCAGACAGTAGAACCCGCAAAAACCATAGTTTCACTTTCAGACACATTATTACTAAAAAAGATACATATAAATTTTCATTTTTTCTGTACACCATAACTCAGTGGAATTTACTACCAGTCCACACAGTCGCTGTAACCACAGTCGACACTTTCAGAGAACAGCTCACACTAGCTGTTCTCCACAAATTCATTTAACTCATTATTAGCCTATGTACATAGTTTTAATCACAATTTAAAATTCTCACGCACTCCAAATTCATTTTCAATTATTTTTGTGTTTTTGTAAATATATATATAGGCCACGCAGCGCAAAACAGTATATAATCTTCAGATATTGAAGGACTACTGAAAACCGAAAGAAGAAGAAGAAGCCAAGTTGTTTCAAAATATTAATAGACACAGTTTAATAACCAAATAAATTTATTAACCATATCTAAGGAGTAAATATTTTTACATTCTTTAAATATCAGATCAAATAACAAATCTCTATCCTCAGAGTATGCAGGACATACTATAACAGTCAGGGGACTTACTTAAATGAGTGATGTTCTAAAACACTGATTCAAGTAACATTATGTCCATAAAGGTTGGAAGTAAGAGTTGTCTTTTTGTCGAGCCTTCGACTTTTGTCGAAAAAGCGAGACATAGCGATCCTACATTCCGTCGGCGGCGTCGTCGTCGTCGGCGGCGTCCACAAATATTCACTCTGTGGTTAAAGTTTTTGAAATTTTAATAACTTTCTTAAACTATCCTGGATTTCTACCAAACTTGGACAGAAGCTTGTTTATGATCATAAGATAATATTCAAAAGTAAATTTTGTAAAAAAAAAATCCATTTTTTCTGTATTTTACTTATAAATGGACTTAGTTTTTCTGCCAAGAAACATTACATTCACTCTGTGGTTAAAGTTTTTGAAATTTTAATCACTTTCTTAAACTATCCTGGATTTCTACCAAACTTGGAAAGAAGCTTGTTTATGATTAAAAGATAGTATCCAGAAGTAAATTTTGTAAAAAAAAAATTCCATTTTTTCCGTATTTTACTTATAAATGGACTTAGTTTTTCTGCCAGTTAACATTACATTCACTCTGTGGTTAAAGTTTTTAAAATTTTAGCAACTTTCTTAAACTATCCTGGATTTGTACCAAACTTGGACAGAAGCTTGTTTATGATTAAAAGCTAGTATCTAGAAGGAAATTTTGTTGAAATTTTGTTCAATTTTTTCCGTATTTTACTTATAAATGGGCTTAGGTTTTCTTCCAGTTAACATTACATACAGTCTGCAGTTTAAGTTTTTAAAACATTTATTAGATTCATAAACTATCCTGGATTTGTACCAAACTTGGACAGAAGCTACTTACAATCAAAAGATGGTATAGAAAGGAATATTTTTATTAATTTTTTTCCTCATTTTTGTTGAGCCTGCGATTAACAGCAAAAGTAGGCGAGACACTGGGTTCCGCGGAACCCTTACGAATTTTTTTAATAATCACCTATTTAAGTAGTACAAATTAATCACTAGACTAAGTGATTTAATTTTATTGTAGCTTTAAATATAGAATACTAATGATCCAGGGACTAATTATGTTGCTATAATTATCAGAACCAACATCTGTGTTGATAGGATGACCGGGTCATGTCAGGTGATGACCTTGTACTAAATCTAGGATAATGACATAAAAATCACTTGTTTAAGTATCATACCTCAATTTCCTTCCAAAAAATCACTTAAGCATCATTATTTTAATAACCCCCACTAATTTCAACACCCCAGAACAGTGAAATTTTGATCGTGAACAGTAGAATTTTATTACATAATCTATAAGATGAAACCTTGATTTTTACAGGAAAAATACTCCCACTGCTGGTAAAAATCTGTTAAGAAAGTATCAGTTCATTATGGAAAGCCATTTTTATAGCATTTTTTCGACTAAAAATAGAATTTGCAGCTAAATGATTGCATCAAAGGCATAAACCTTGCTGCTTAAAAGAAGCAAAAAGTTATTTTTTTTCAATTTTACTAATGAAAAGATATTATCTAAACCTATGTGATTAAAATTTTGGTAAAACTACAAAATCACAATATGTGACAAAACTTCGAATTTGCTACTTAAATAAGTGATTTAAAAATCACTTAATTCAATAAGTCCCCTGACTGTATAAGTTGTATAAATTTGTTCCACCCTATAGAAGTTCCCCTGGAAACTTTGTTATAAACCAGGTCTCACACTAGCAGGCAACTGGGGCGATTAAGTTGCTTTTCCATCTGTCACTTCGCTTTTCTCGACTGTCAAAAGCGATATCTAGTCTCCCTGTGTTCACAGTAGTTGCTTTCAGTTGCTTTAGTCATTGGCAATTTTCAATTTTTACCAAGTCAATTAATCAGCAATTTTTCATTTATAAGTAAAGAAATCCAAAGACTCTTTGTTTTCCCAGTTTGTGGATATTTTATTCTCACAGATGAGGAAAGAGTAATTTTGCCTGCCATCAACGCAGTTCAATCGGAACCACTCAGCGGTTTCAGATTTTCGTGTAGCAAAAAATTGCTGAGTAGTTCTGACTGGTAGCAATTAAGCATTAAGAAAGAAGACGAATCCGGATTGCTATTTCCGGTAATCAGAGTTTGGTCAGACGAAAAAAAATTAATAAAATAAAACCAAAAATTTGTTTCGTATAATGCTATCACGTTGTTGTCGTCGTTGTTGTCTTCTGAAGACTTTGGTTTACGGACAATAACTTTAGTTTAAGTGTATGGATCGCTATGAAATTTAAACAAAAGGTTCAATACCACAAAAGGAAGGTTGGGATTGTTTTTGGGGGTGATGGTCCCAACCGTTCAGGAATTTGGGGCCAAAATGGGGCCCAAAACAAGCATTTTTCTAGTTTCAGAACAATAACTTGTGTATAAGTATATTGATTGCTCTGAAATTGTACCATAAGGTTCAATACTACAAGTAGAAGCTCGGGATTCATTTTGGGGGTAATTGCCCAAATTGTTAAGGAATTAGGGGCCAAAACAAGCAATTTTCTAGTTTCAGATAATAACTTGTGTTTAAGTGTATGGATGTCCCTTAAATTGTACCACATTTTACAAAAAGAAAATTTGTTCAAATATTATTTTTTTTGGAAAAGGGGGTGGGTAAAAAATTGGGGGGAGGTCAATTTTTTTCCCTCCAGATTTAAGAAATCAATTTTCAAAAAAAAAATTGGGGGTCACAATTTATTTCGCTAATTCTTTGTATATAGTCTGAAAACTGATTTACTAAGTATTGTGCAACAGCACAGTGTATTGCACAACAGCAAGAAATCTTCAATTGAATATAAATTCAAATCATATAACCAATTTCAAGTTCTTTAACTACATTTATTCTGTGTCAGAAACTTATAATGTGTCAAATATTTAATTACAATCCATATTCAGACCTGTATCAAGCTTGAATATTGTGTCCATTTTTGCCCTAAATGTTCAGGGTTGGACCTCTGCAGTCGTATCCAGCTGCGCTCGGCGAAGTAGTTTATTTATTTTGGCCTCACTTCTCCCTATGATTCTGAAGTAGTGTGAATAGATAGATAGAAGATGTGGTATGAGCAGGGGCGGATCCAGGATTTTAGGTTGGGGGGCGGGGCGCAAACTTAAATTTTTTTTGAGGTAAAATTATCGAAATATTCTTTATTAAGCTGAGGACAACCCATGCTTTGCAAATTTTATGGGGGGGGAGGAGGGGGGCGCACACCCGCCACGCCCCCGCCTGAATCCACCCCTGTTGAGTGCCAATGAGAGAACTCTCCATCCAAGTAAATATTATAAACATTGCCATAGTATCTGTTCCTATTGGAACAAGTATTCTATACCATTAATTTTATAAGAAACAAATTCTGTAATATTTCTTTGAGTCATCCAGTGGAAATAATATTACAGAATGTTTCTTCTGTTTTGAACTTATATTATGAAGGAACTTTTATTTCATGACACTTAGCATTCCCGTGTATCTACTATCCAGTAACAACACACTTTGGCACCCTGTTCCGAAGACAATTAGATATTTTTGGCATTTGGACATCTCTTGACTAAGACAATTTGGCACCTTGTTTTATTCTTTATTTTTCTGTAATCAGTAAAAGTTAAATAAAAAATAACTATGATTTTTAAAACAAGAAAACAAGAATTTTGATAGTGTTATTTAAATCCTTAAATAAAAAAGCAACACAATATTTGATTATATTTGATCAAACATATTTGAATGTAGTTATGCATTAACCAATATTTTATGTACATGTAAGTTTACAATGAGTTTTGATAATTTCTCATTGAAGATCAAAAGTGTTCAGCTTGTGTTTGCAAATGTTGATCATTTAAAACCTATTATTCTAAAGAAAACATTACACATGTGAATTGATTTGATTGTTTTAACATTACAAGCCATAACTAAATTGTGTGCAAGCCATATTAAAGAAAGATCCAAAACCATTGGCATAGCTTGACCTCTGATATTACTGAGGTAAGGGGTCTGGCAGTGCAGCAAACAGGTCAAAAGGAACTAACATGATCAATTCTGTTAATATCTATATTGCTATTTATAGTTTTATTGATTTGATTTGTCAGTTGAAATAAATAGAGTAAATGTGTGACATGTATTTTATTATTTATTAGTGTATGCATGGTGAAGCCCTTAATCTATTAATTTTTTTTCAATCTTCCATTAACACCTAATTCTCCAAAATTAGGGAAACCCTTGTTTTGACAGTTCTTTAAATGTGCAATAATTTTGTGAATGCATTTTAAATTTTAATTTTGAATAAACATGAAGATTTTATACTTTAGAATACAGTTTAGTCTGCCATAAATTTAAACAATTTTATGTGAGGTCATAATTTCAATGGAAAAAGGTTAAATACATGTAGGTTAAACATGGGATTGTAATTATAAATGTATCAGTTATCAGTTTAACCTTTTCTGTCCCTTTGGAAGACTATACAATTTTCAAGAACAATTTTATTATGCTACATTGTGAATTCACGATACACTGACTCGATGATATGTATCAGCATACGTGAGTATTTTAGTCTAGACGCCATCTAATTATCCATCGAAGTGACCTATGAAGACTGCCGCATTCATATCACCTGATATAAACATAAACATAAACATAGATATACATGTAAATACATGTAGATAGCGAACTCGTGCAATTGGATTTTTCTAGGTCTGTTTGATTTTATATTATAGGTTTAAAAAATATGTCAATAATCGTTTTTACCTGTAGATCGAATCAGTCGACCAAATAGTTTACCCTTGTTTCACTTCCAATGTTGACATTCTTTTCTTTTTAAAAGCTGAACACGCCGTAACCCATCTCAAGCTAAGGGGTTCAATTGAAGTTCGCATCAATACAGATTTAATGAGGTTGAATTATTCACTTGATAATTCATCAGCAATGTTTCTTTGCTTATTTTGACAAAACTGAACCAAACAGGCTGCTAAAAGCGAATTATCATATCACCATTTCACTTTCATAAATGTTTGAACAAAAAGAAATCATATTTTATTTATTTCTATATCTCGTAGCTCATGCCCCTTTAAATATGTCTGCAAAGATTAACATATTAGATATAAAGTGTGCACCAGATTTAAGTTATCTTGTTTTGTAACCTTCTTCATTGTTCTTAGTCTAATTGTTAAAGAGTTGCAATTAACAAGAAGAATCATACAAGCTTACTGTAAAATACTTCCAATATTTATTGGAAAATCAGGGCAAGTAATTTTTTCCCAGACAAGTAAAATTTACAGTTTTACTTGCCCAGGGACAAGTGCTCCCAACAAATATTTCCACACTCCTTATTTTTACCCCCAATAACCCTTGGGAAAGCTGGTTAATCTAACACCATACACATGTTTGTTTTGTAGGAAGAAACTTCTTGTTTTTACCTGCAATAGGCCCTGGGGAAAGTTATTTCATCTTACACTGTATACCTGTTTGTTTTGTAGGTAGAAAAGTTGCTATTGATGCCTCCATGTGTATCTACCAGTTTCTTATAGCTGTCCGACAAGATGGCAGCCAGTTGATGAATGAAGATGGCGAAACAACAAGGTCAGTCACTATATTAAAATATTGTTCCTTCAAAGGGGTATTAGATGCCAATTTCATGCCCACGGAAATGATTCAAAAACTCAAATTGGATTTAATATATACTTAAATGCAAGTCAGAGCTGCATGGACAGAAGTTCCTTAGAAAACAATACACGATGTCTTGAATGTTATAAAGTATCAACATTTTGGGTGTATTACTGACTGGAAGCCATTTAATGAACCATTGACATGACCTAGGATAACTGTCAATGGGCATGTGACCCCCTTATAAACAGGTTAATATAATACAAGTAGGCAGGTAAGCACCTGCAACAGTATTATGAAGATTTTCTTAGTTCTGTGTGATCTCATTTCATAAATTAAAAGATATAATGTAAATCTCTTAATTAGAACCTATAAAAGACTGGTTAATGATTGCAGAAGGGGTAATAACGGAATAATGCAAAATGTGAAACATGACGTTCAATTTAATTTTTTTTTTCAGGATGATAAATTTTTGCGAGTAAAATTCAAAATTTGCCTTAATTTGAAAAAGGTAAAAACATTCTGGCTACAATTTCTCAGATATAGCTAAAAAATGTAAGGAAATGTTTTTTTTTTCAATTGCAGTCATCTGATGGGAATGTTCTATAGGTCAATCAGAATGTTAGAACATGGCATAAAACCTGTCTATGTATTTGATGGCAAACCACCAGACATGAAGTCAGGGGAGGTAAGTTTGTATAATATCTGTCTGAATTTGATGGCAAACAACCAGACATGAAATCAGGGGAGGTAAGTCTGTATAATATCTATGTATTTAATGGCAAACTAGACATGGAATCAGGGGAGGTAAGTTTGTATAAGATCTATGTATTTGATGGCAAACTACTAGACATGGAATCAGGGGAGATAAGTGTATAATATCTGTCTGAATTTGATGGCAAACAAGCAGACATGAAGTCAAGGGAGGTAAGTATGCATAATAACTGTATTAATTTGATGGCAAACCAACAGACATAGTTAGGGGAGGTAAGTCTGTATAATACCTGTCTATATATCTGATGGCAAACAACCAGACATAAAATCAGGGGAGATAAGTCTGTATAATATCTGTATTTGATGGCAAACTACTAGACATGGAATCAGGGGAGATAAGTGTATAATATCTGTCTGAATTTGATGGCAAACAACCAGACATGAAGTCAAGGGAGGTAAGTATGTATAATAACTGTATTAATTTGTTGGCAAACCACTAAACATGAAGTCTGTCTTCAATTTTTTCCATCAAAATGATCAAATGGAGAAAAAAAAGTGTCCCATTTTATACAGAAATTAGGAAAGTGATATTTGATTATATCAAGCAATTTATTTTTAGGTCCAATGGTTCAAATCATATTTTAATAAGGAAGGGTACATGATCATGACCATTTGAATTCTCTGGTGAAAGGTGGTCCTTAAGAAAGTCAACAATCCTGTATAAAGAATGAGTGTTAAGAATGGGAGGTCCTTGACTATTGTATTTCAAAATGAAAATTCCCATTTCAGGTATCATGTAAAAGCTTTTGGTCAAGGTAGTTTATCATGAAGCTGGGGTCACATCAATATGAAACTTAGTATGATCACATGTTTTTAGGACGCATGAAATTTTTTAAAGTGTTATTTTCATTCCTTAGTATGTGAATCTTTTAAAATATATACCAATTAAGGATTTTGACCCAGATTTTGCAGTTCACTGAACATGGAAATGTAATAGTGTGAGCGGGGCATGGTGTCTTATGGACACATATTATTGTTCACTAGTTGTTCACTAATTAGTAAAGAAATTTAAAGACAGAATTTATTTCTTACGAAACAAATTTTTGCAAACATAAGCATTTGGATACATACCAAATTTTACAATGAAGTCTTTGATATATATGGGAATAGAAATATATAAGAGGCCAGGATAATCTCATGCTTAAAGGAGAACACTGGTTTTTATGTGAATTGTCAAAAGTAAAGTAAATAGATTTTAAAATTCAAAATTCAATACACTATTTGCTTTGTAGATAGAAGCCCTGTGATTAGCTGTTGTTATTTACATCCTTGTTCTTTTGTGTTTGATGGATAGTTGTCTAATTTACAATATACATGTATCTTCCTTTCTGTATACATTGTTTTCTGCAAAGTACTAATCTTAAATTACACTACTGAAGCTTATACCTTATTACAATATATATGAATGTTGTATTACAGTTAGAAAAGAGGAAAGAAAGAAGGGAGGAGGCACAGAAAGCTTTAGAGAAAGCTGAGGAAGCAGGTATATAGTGTAATCTTTATATAAAACAAAGTAACATAATCACAAAAACTGCACTGAGTTTCATAGAATGTTAAAAGTAAGAAAAGCAATATAATAAGTATCAGTAATGTAACAAGCAGCTTTTTCTTTTAAGATTATTGTTGTATTTCCTTATTAAAACACATTTGTCTGCTAAATTTAGAATTTTTACACAATAAAGAATTGAATTATAGACATGATAGACTGCCTTCCAATTTTGCTACTTTTCACTTTTTTGATTTTGACAGTTCATGACTTTACAGAACTCTTCTCTGACAGGAAACAATTGATGTTTTTCCCACATTGTACAATACAATTCAAATTTACTTATGCACAAATGTTTAGGGTTAGTAATTTCTGTTTTGATTTTGACAGTTGTAAAAGCAAAAGGGTCTTGAAAAATTGGTTTTCACCCCACATTATTTAATGTTATTTCTGTCTGAATGTCACATTGTTTTAGTTAGTACTAGTGACAATAATGTCCATTTGATTGGAGATTTGTTTTTATGTTTGCCGTTTTATAGTTGTTGAACTTTGTAGAAATAGTGAAAAAATATCATTTTGCTTTCATCAGTTCCATTTGACTACATTTATTTTGTTGGTATATGCATTTTGTAAGCATTAACTTAATTATATTTGTTAAAAAAAAGACAGACATCAATTACTCAATTAACAAAGGTTAATACAATTTACAGGAGATGAAGAAAACATAGAAAAATTCAATCGTCGTCTTGTGAAAGTTTCAAAGCAGCATAATGAAGAGTGTAAAGAACTATTGAAATTGATGGGAGTCCCATATATAGAGGTAACAAATAGTATACAAAGTACATACTATATATAGAGGTAACAAATAGTAAACAGTCAATGCAGTGTTCTGCCCAGGATTTTTTGATAGCGCTCTGGTAAGCGCGCGATATTAAGATTGATTCACCTTTCACGTTTGCGACTTGATGTTACATTTATTTCTAACTGCCATGTTAATTCTATTATATATAATAGACAAAGACCTGCATTTTTTATACATATATATGCATTAACAGAAATAAAAATAAGGTAAATTTTATTATTTAGCTTTAAAAATCAAAATGCCTAGATAATTCAAATAATTTGATTTCATTACCACCCCTCCCCACCTTTTTTTTTAAGAGTAAGTATGTACAATGTAGCATAGTATATATATATCTTTTCTCTCACTTTTAGTTGTTTGACTGATAAACTAGTTATGTATTTCATTTACAACTTCATAATTGATACATTTAAAGAAAGTTTTGAATGAAAAAATTGGACTTTTCTCATTAACTTTTATTTACATCTTTCAAATTACAATTTTGCAACTAAATTCAGTATATTATTTAATATCGAAGAAAGAAATGGAATTACCCTTTCCATAGGTACTTAAATGTTATTAAGGACATGTTTAAAAAAGGCTAACATATTCCAAGATGCATCTGAAAGAAACTTCATTTTATTTTTTTTTTATTTAAGGTCATTTTTTTTTATTTATTATTTATCAATAAAAAATTAAATTTGCCAATTGAAACATTACTACAATGTACCTATCACCTTTAAAGGTTATGTTCGATAAATTTATAAATATTTGAATTATTGCCACCAGAATTATTTGACAAGATTTGACAATACTGGTTTTAGTACTTATTCCCCCAAAATTGTCTTTTTTTAAACTTCCTGTTTCTATTTACACTTTGACTAAATGGCTGTTTATATGATTTATCAAATGCCATTTCTTATCCAAGCAGTCCTCTGTTCATATTTCATATATTTCATCTTTACAGCAAGCTATAAAGGGTCCCAAAAATGACTAGTGTAAAACCATTCAAACAGGAAAACAAACGATCTAATCTATATAAAAAACGAGAAACGAGAAACACTTATGAACCACATCAACAAACGACAACCATTGAACATCAGGTTCCTGACTTAGGACAGGACTCAAAAACCAAGGAAACATAAATAAAGTATGAACAAAGTTTGTTTAAGATAATAATTGTTCTGATATGACTTCCACGTTTATGGGATAATCTTAACTGTAGGCTCCAGTCACATGACTTCCACGTTAATGGGATAATCTTTACTGTAGGCTCCAGGTGAAGCTGAGGCACAGTGTGCTGTTTTAGTTAAAGCTGGTAAAGTATACGCTACTGGTACTGAGGATATGGATGCTCTTACGTTTGGAACCAGTGTACAGTTGAGAAATCTAACAGTTGCTGAAGCAAGGTAGTGACTTTTAAACACACTTCATAAATTGTTTTTGTCATACATATCAGAGTTTTGTCCTTGTCTGACAATATTAAGTCAATCTTTGACCATAACACAATTATAACATTGAAAATCTCAAAGATAGTTGGGTTTCACAATTGTCTACATTTATCAGACATGACACCATTTATGACTCCAAATTGTTTTGTGTTACGTAAGGATGAGACAAACATGAAAAATGTGTAATAGAATTGAATGGAGAAAATGTGCGTTAGCACCAGGCTCTGAAATCAAATAAGCATCAAATAGGAGGAGTATTCTAGACGAGAAAATAATTACTTTGCTGGCTGTTTGTGTATATTTTGCAGGTGTGCAAGTGGTCTGGGTTTTGATTTTTTATTAATATTTGCTCTTTTGGGAGATAGTTGAACTTTGTCATTTTTGGAGTATATACTTGCATAAGAGGTGCATAGCGTTTCCGGATAACTCCTCCTACAGTGAACCATAGACCTATGTGCTCCCATGCTCAACTTTGTGTATTTTAAAATAACACTTTGCATCTGCAGGGGCATCATTTGTGACTCCCAAACACAATAATATCTCAAAGAAAGTCCTACATTGACAGTTACTTCAGAGTGGAGTGCGGGGGCATCACTTTGTCTAGTTTTTAATTGCTTCCAATATTTCCATTTGTTTCATGAGGACATTTATCTACATGTAGTTACATGTTATTTCTATATTTCAGAAAATTACCAATAAAAGAATTTCATTACCAGAAAGTTTTGGACGAATTAGGAATGAACAAAGATGAGGTATTCATATTATTCAATAGATTCCATTTTATAAAAAAAACCATGACCATAAAAGTTTTATGGTATTACTTGTAATATGTGAGCATTCAGATATGTCAGATAACTGCTAGAGCAAAGTGGTCTCTTAGTTTGGTGGTTAAAATTTTCATTCTATAGAGCATTGAATATTACATTTATACTTTCTGGTAGCTACTGATAATTTTTCATGTCTTCTTAATATTTGAGTTGCTTTATTGCTTGATATATTGAATTGCAGTTTATTGATCTATGTATACTACTTGGGTGTGACTACTGTGAATCCATCAGAGGAATTGGACCAAAGAGGGCTTATGATTTAGTGAAACAGCACCATTGTATTGAAGAAATTCTCAAACATCTAGACAGCAAGGTAACATGGTCAAAATAAGAACTAAGTTCGTTTGTCATAGACTTAACCCAACCTCATCTCATAAAAAACAAATTATAAATTATGGTAAAGTTTCAGCTTAAGTACAAAAATTGTTACTCAGAAGATCAGATATTATATCTTTTCTATAAGAATCTGTAAAATCCTGAATGTCAAGGTCAATCATGTGTAAGATAAAGACAATTTGGTATGTCAAATAGTTATATTAAAAAAGAAAAAAAAATCTTTGTGGGGTGACGGTTCATCTCTTGGAAAATTAAAGTTGCTTGATAAAATTTGATAAATATAAACAGTTTAGTATTATCTTTGTCTTAAAAAAAAAACTTGAGGGGCACATAGTTACTGCTTTATATGTTTGTCAAGTTTGATTGTCATTGTTGCCACAGGTTATTTTTCAGAGTTGTGCCACTTGACTGATCTCAAAATTGGGTAAAAAAGTTTCATGATAATAGCATGAAGTTTGGTATATGTAAGGAACTAATTATTTTGTGATATTAATAACTGTTGTGAAATGAGTTGCAGTGATATTTTTTGTATATGTGGTTAGAGTAATGCCTCTTGAATTGTCTCAAAATAGTAAAATGATTTTATGTAGTTTGCAGATGATTACTGGTATGAAATAGGCTGTCATTTTATTATACCCCTACCACCGCTTTAAAAAAGTGGGGGTATAATAATAATAATATTATTACATTGGTAGCAATGAATTATATTGATTTCCCAGTCAAATAAAAACCGATAATTTCACATGTGAAATAAACGTGGTTATTTCACTCTCTGACGTCATACAACAATAGGCGTTGTCAGGACGTCGATAACGTCGGATCAAAACAAATTATGAATGCGTAGAAAAAAGATATAGTTCCTTACATTTTCTACATTAATTTCATTAAAAAAAGCCATTTGCCAATGTAATAAAAAGAATAACTAATCAAAGAATTCAAATATCGAAAAATATTCAACTCGTGACCGAACAACATTGATAATTAACTCATGCGCTACGCGCATTCGTGAATTAATGTGTTGTTCGGTCACTCGTTGATTATTTTTCTCTATTTGAATTCTTCGATTAGTTATTCTATAAATAATAATAATAAATTCTTTATTTAAAGAGGGTAAACTCAGTTAGTTACAGTGAGCTAATCTTCCCTGAGGCCCTCACATACAAATTACAATACAATCAAAAACAGATATTTACACATAGTTAATTTACAGTCAATTAGTTCAATGTAATATTACTAACATGATAAGATATAAGGCTGTTCAAGATGTACATGTAGTCAAAAAATCAAATACAAATAAAAATAAAAGAATATACAAATACATTGTAGAAAACATAATCTTATCAGGACTGTGTTAAGTACTTCTTGATACTTTGTTTAAAAGTATAAGTGTTTTGAGCTTTACGCATTTTGTGTGGTAGTCCATTCCATAACACTGATCCAGAATAAACAAAAGATTTCTTAAATAGCTCAGCTTTTGGCTTAGGAACTATCAGATTACCTTGAGTGACGCCTCTCAGGGAGTAAGGATTATTATCTGATTTCAGTTTAAACTTTTGAACTAGGTACATTGGTGCTTCCATACGCATACATTTATATAGAAGTAAATATTTGTGGTATTTTATTCTATTGTCAACTGTCATCCACCCAAGTTCTTTAAATAAGGGGGCTGAGGGGGATAAAGGATCTGCATCTAGAATTAATCTTGCTGCCCTTTTTTGGAGTTTTAAAATTCTTGCTATCCCTTCATTTTTACATTCACCCCAAATAATACAGCAGTAGTCAATCAGGGGCAGAATATACCCATTGTAATATGTTTTCCTTGCATTTATATCTAAAAATTTCTTTATTTTAGAAAGAAGGTATATTCTGGATGATATATTAGCACAAACTTGGTCAATTTGATTTCTCCAGTTAAATGTGCTGTCAATTTTAACACCTAATAATTTTTCACATGAAGAATTTTGTAATACTTTTGAATCTATTATTAAGTTTGGTTGATAAGTCTGAATTGATAGTTTCTGCTTTGTTCCAGTAACCAAACATTTTGTTTTATTTGCATTAATGAACATGTTATTCGTTTTGCACCACTCTTCAACCCTGTATAAATCTTCTTGAACATCATCATGTATATTTTCTATGTTTTTCCCTGATTTATGAAGAGTGGTGTCATCAGCATATAGGTCTGTTTCACAATTTTCAATGCATAAGTGAAGGTCGTTTATAAATAGCACAAACAATAGAGGACCAAGTATAGAACCTTGGGGGACACCAAATTTTACATGTTGTTGTTCAGAGTAAACATTACAAATGTTTACCTGCTGTTTTCTGTTATTCAGGTATGACTTGAAAAAATAAATACTGTTTTACCTCTGTCTGTCCGTTCGTCAGTCCGTCCGTCCGTCTGTCGTCCCATGAATATCTTTCTCAGGAACTACACTACAAGGAGTTCTGAAATTTGATTTCAGGGTTTATATAAGTCAGCTATCCTGTGTGATGCGTTTTCAGATTCATCACTCAACAACTTCCTGTTTACCGTCAAGTATTTAGGCGGGGTATCATCAGTGCTCACAGTTTCACTAGTTATCACTTTTTTGTGAGCATCTGTTAGTTGTTCAAACATTTAACTTATCCTTTAAGCATTTGACTACCTTTCAATAATTTTACTCTACAGAAATACACAGTACCAGAAGATTGGATGTTTAAGGTATGTTATAGCCTGAAATCACCTTTGATTTTATAATTTTACAATTAAAATCTAATAAAGGGATTATTATTTGCCATCTGTGACTTATAAAACATACTCATTTCAGAATATCACATATTGCATATGTGTAGATTCATTTTATAATTTTTATGAATGCAAGTTTTTGTGGTGTAAAAATTAGTTATACCTGATTTTGTTGTTCAGAGATTTTCCACTTTAAACCTTTATTTGCATTTCATAAAATATTAAAATTTCTTTTTGTATGTCCATTAGAAATTAACAGATTAATGATGACCGGGTAGGTCAAATAATTGTCAATGCACACAATGAAGTACTCCTCCATTGGTTTATAATAAAACAAATTTTTAACTTTGCAGGAGGCAAGACGTTTGTTTCAGGAACCTGAAGTTGCAGACCCAGAGACATTAGATGTAAGTAACGTATAAGTCTTTAACACTTTTTGTGTTCATGATCTTGCATGGCATGTAGTGAATTATATGTGGGCTATGTAATGATCACTGCTGTTACAATAGCTACACTTGTGAAAGGAAAATATCAGTCCTCCTTTTTTAATGTGTATTGACTAAGATGGGTGGTATTTAAACAATATGAAATCTAACATCATTGTGTAAGGATATAATTAAAAGCAAGAAAACCAGTAACCTTTGTTTAAATGACCTGGAACGTGGAAGCACCAATTATTTGAGGAATACTAAAATCTGTAAATAGTAATGAATTGAATGAAATCACTGGCCTATCTTTACTTGAACAGAAAACAGAATGATTTGAAATAAACAGTGGATGCTTATTATTAGGGACTAGCCTAGTGGTGGGTCGCCCTATAGTGATCGTCTGTCCATCTGTCCGTCCCTCTGTCTTTAACAAATTGTGTCGGCTCTATATCTAGAGAACCGTTATAATTTAATACTTTATACTTCACATATATATTAACCAACACCAGAGGATGTGTCATAATGTTTGTACAACTTCCTAGGTCAAATGTCAAGGTCAAAAACTTTGGTTTCAGTTGACAACTGTTATTTACAGCGAGGCCCACAGAGATGGCTCCCATCTCAAAGTCTAGTTTTGTTGGAAAACAATTTTTGATGAGTTAATGGTATATTGATCAGGATTTGACATTAATGACTGTATGATTGCCCAGGACAAGTAAAATTCATCATTGGCCAGTAAAAGCTGTAGTGGACTTTACTGATTTGCAAGTAAAAAAAAATTCTTTACAAACCCCATTCAAAAAGCAATATAGATCATTAGTTTGCTTTAATTTTTCCCTATAGCTAACCCAGACTTTTCCCTCACGAAAATCCATGGACTTCTTATGATTCAGCTATTGGCACAATAAGTTAATAAATTCCCAGGATTTTTGGTGGACTTTCTCCTGATGCAGCTAATAGGTGGATTTTATCCTAATAGCATATGAATGTCTCCAATAATTTTAAAGCCAATTTTATATTCTCAGCGTGTGAATTTTGATGTTTTTATGATAACAAGTGATTGAAGCAGATATCTGCAAAAGATATATTTGGAAAAGAATTTTGGATGAGTTAATGGTTGAAGATAAATATTGATGTCTTACACATTATGGAAATCAGCAGTCTGGCCAGCTTTATATATTATTTATATGATTTCAGTATAAAATTTCTATTGACAGTTAAAATGGACAGATCCAGACGAGGAAGCATTGGTAGATTATATGGTGAACAAGAAAAATTTCAGGTAAATAGTATGAACATATAGAAAAAGGATATGGAGTAGATTTATTAATATTGTATTGATATGACTGAAAAATTACTATGTAATCTTTTTGCTGAAATAATACTTATTATACCCTTGTATGACTATCAGATTAAAAAGATTACAAAGGTAATGGCACTGTATGGTTTCTGAAAGTTTTAGTTGGTCCTTAAGGGCTATTCCATTAAAATGTATGTGGGAGGGCAGGAAGGGAGTTTAATTATTGAATATGTGTCATGGGTCTTTTTTCATTATGGGTCTATTACCATTATGCAAAGTTATCTAAAAAATGGTTCTTGGTTGTAGGGATATTTTGAAAGTCCCTTCCTACCCTCCCACATACAATTTAATGGAATAGGCCTAAATTAGTCCAGGAATAATCACGAGAACAAGTTTTGTAAATTATAATTTCATCATCAATTGATAATATAGGGAGTTGTGGTGTAATTGTACTTCATATAACAAAATGCTTTTTGGAATCTGGATAAAAATAAAATGCAAATTTGGGTTAAAAATAAACTGCCACATATAGTGGGAAAATATTGAAATACATTAAAATGTGTGGTTAATCATTTCTCATATACTTTTAAGAAGAGTATACGTATGATTTATTACTTTTTAAAATAAATATATATTGCAGTGAAGACAGGATAAGGAATGGTATTAAAAAGTTACAGAAAGCCAAACAAGGATCAACACAGGGCAGACTTGATTCCTTTTTCTCTGTTGTGTCTACAACAAGTACCAAGAGAAAGGTATGTTAAATCAAAACAGGGACCCAGTCAAGTAGTAATGGACTTTTGTGTATATACGAAAATAAAATAGGGAGATGTGGTATGCTTGCCAATAAGTCCACCAATTACCTTGTATCAAGAGTATGCATTCTTTAATTAGAAGATCCTCATCATACTGATTTATGTTATAATCCACCATACATTGTAAAGAGCTATTTTTAGATTCAATTTTCTTCCAAATCCTTGTAAATGTTATTGTGATCTTTTCATTTCAGAAATTTGCAGTTAAAGAATACAAGAATTGGCTGTCAAAGTCATATACAAATTAAGGTCAAAATTTTAGTTCATAAATACTGTGTTCCAAATTAAGAATTTCAAAAACCAAAAATACTGTAAGCCAACTAATTTCGATAGTGATTTATTTTCGCGAGTAGATAAATAACTTGAAAATAATTCATAGCGAATATATAACACTTGTGTCTTCTCTGCAAAATCGGCTGAAAAAGACTAAACACGAAATAAAGTATCCACGAAAATAAGTTGGTTTATTTACTTCCAACACAGGTAAGATCTAAGGACTTGATGATTGGAAATAAATAAATCAATGCTATCCAGAATTTATATTCTTAGTTATATTATATTATAGCAAGAAGAACAAAAAGGATCAGCAAAGAAGAAAGCTAAAGGAACATTCAAAAGAGGAAAATGAATAATGTTTATTTTGTCATGTAATGGACTAAAAGATTTTGATGCATTTTTATTGTGGACAGAACTCAAACCACTTGTGAAAGATTTACTTCAAAGATTTTTTGTAAACATAATACTAATGAAATGTTAGTAAAATGGAATCATGTACTCTTGTTGACTAAAAAGTTAAACGATTGTCAGTGAATAATTTAAAAATAATGTTCAACATTATAATGAATTTGGAATTATACAGAAAATGTCAAAGTTATGGACCGTGTCATAGGTTTTTCAAAATGTGAAGAATTAAAAATGAATTTGTTATGGACTGTGTCATAGTTTTTCAAAATGTGAAGAATTATGAGGAAACTGAGAATGCTAAATTGTTTTTAGGTTTTCAATGCCCTTTTAGATGTCCATCTGTGACCTAGTAGCTTGGAACTTTCTGTTGATCTCGAAATACCCTGTTTTAAAATTTGAAAACACATGTTTTTAAGAAATTAGTACAAGTAAAATGTTGTCCATTATGCAGGGAATAAGGTATATGCAGTTATATTTGTGTCCCTTGAAAAATGATGATTTTTCTGTTATGCCATTGTTGTGTACATCTTTATAAAGTTTACATGTATGGTAATAAATCGTTAAGAAAACTATCAATTCATGTTTTGATTGTTTATATTAGTGCACGTAAAGTATGTTTGTACTACATGTATGGTCAGGATAGTCAAAACATCCTAATACAAATTAACTAGTTGATAGGTGAAAGAAATGATATAAAGAGAGGAGAAAGATACCAAAGGATAATCAAAATCATAGGTAGAAAACAAACTGACAGAGCCATGTCAAAAAACAAGAAGTGAGGAAAAGAAAAACAGTACACAAAACACAACAAAGTAAACTAAAGACTGAGCAACACAAACCCCACAAAAAAAACCAGGGGTGATCTCATGTGCTCCGGAAGGGTAAGCAGATCCTGCTCCACATGTGGCACCCGTCTTGTTGCTCATTCATGTAAGTACAAACCCCGTGATAAGTCGAATTCGGTAGGTCACATACGAGGAAAAGAGGTCAGGATTGTGGTTAAGACATTAGGAACATATCCATCATCTGTTAAACAGATATTCCATGGTGTCCATAAAATTTTCCAAGGGATGATTTCAACTGCTTGGAATTCTTGGTTCAATAGCTTCCTTGTAAGCAGCAACCCTCTATCAAGGAAATCATGATAGGAAATGCAAGTTCTGGAATATCGTATCATTGGGAGTTATATACTCCATATGCAGGTTTCTTAGCTACACTAAATAGTTTTAGAATACCTTTTGATATGTCTTTTTGAATATTGATTACTGGCTGGTAATTCAGGATATATTCTAGTGACCTTGATAAAAATATACACCCAATTTCAGATCTGTGTTTATATTATAAGATTTTAAGTCAGAGTCCAGTTTAACCATCACCTTTTTTTACTGAATCTGTTTATTGAAGAGACTACTAACTGTCAAATTCGTTTCAAGCAAAAATGAAATTTTCAGTTAGAACTTTGGTGTAATTTTCTTTAAAAAAAAGGAAAATTGTTCAAATTGGCAAAGTTTCTCTCTAAATATTCTTCTTGACATTTTGTCCTTTGCATTGCTAAATGAGAACCATACATGGTGTAGATTGGTTTAAGTAGTTTAATTGTAATGAACACAAATTGAATTAATGTGGTTTTAAAGTCCTTGAATGAGTCCAAAGAAACTGAAACATCAATTGTACAGCTCTTTATGCACGCTTCCTATTAACTTCTTCAGCAATGATCAAAGCCCAATGAAGGGGCACCAAAAAAAGAGTGAATATTTGTTGAACTGTATATCATAAAAAATGAAAACAACACGCTATAAATTTCATGCGTCCGAAGTGCTTTTCTGGATTTACCTTCATCAGGAATTCTCACAGGCGAATATTTGAAAGCCAAGGAAGTTTATGATTGAAACATTTAAAGAGCTGTATGACAAAAAAAAAGGACCGTAAAAATAGCCAAATCAATCTAAGGTCAGCTTTGCCTGAGGGAGTTGAAACCTTAGTTTCTTTATAATTTCAAAAGCTATAAACGGACAATTTAATAAAGGTTTGTTTTAAATCATGTCAGTGACTACTGAGCTGATGGTACCCTTGGGTTCTAAAAATAATGACCTATTCAAGAGAACTCTGATAGGCATTATTGATACTATTTGTATTTATTTGTGTTTAAGGTCTGGTTTTGAGATTTAATATATATGGTAAAAAAATTGCTCAGATTGTAAGAAAAGCACTTAAAAAGTTTTTAAGTTGTTAGCTATTATAAGCTATGAATCAACTTCAAACAATGCCTTGTCCTGCTTACCAGATAACATCTTGTGAAGTGCATTCTACAAACTCTACAGGTAAACGTGTGCCTTGTTCTGCTTACCAGATAACATCTTGTGAAGTGCATTCTACAAACTCTACAGGTAAACGTGTGCCTTGTTCTGCTTACCAGATAACATCTTGTGAAGTGCATTCTACAAATTCTACAGGTAAACGTGTGCCTTGTTCTGCTTACCAGATAACATCTTATGAAGTGCATTCTACAAACTCTACAGGTAAACGTGTGCCTTGTTCTGCTTACCAGATAACATCTTGTGAAGTGCATTCTACAAACTCTACAGGTAAACGTGTGCCTTGTTCTGCTTACCAGATAACATCTTGTGAAGTGCATTCTACAATATTTATCAAAGGTACCAGGATTATAATTTAATACGCCAGACGCGCGTTTCGTCTACATAAGACTCATCAGTGACGCTCAGATCAAAATAGTTATAAAGCCAAACAAGTACAAAGTTGAAGAGCATTGAGGACCCAAAATTCCAAAAAGGTCTGCCAAAACCGGCTAAGTTAATCTATTCTTGGGATAAGAAAATTCTTAGTTTTCCGAAAAATTCAAAGTTTTGTAACAGGAAATTTATAAAAATGACCATATAATTGATATTCATGTCAACACCGAAGTGCTGAGCTGGTGGCGGCACCGACACTCTACAGGTAAAAGTGTGCCTTGTTCTGTCTATTACAGTGTATTTTACCCTAGCATGTCTTCTGTAATTGGACTTTAAATCTATACACAGTCTTTTTTATCATTTTCAAAGAGAAACAAAAAATGCTTTTCACGAATTCATCAACATTCCAACTGACTCATTTTCGAAAAATGAAATTATTAACAAACATAAACTTTTAGCTACCTCTTAACAAGCAGAACCGAATAACCTAGCAGTTCTAACTATGTACTGGCTTCCGAAGCTGCACAAGACATCTTACAAATATAGATTTATCACGTTATCAATCCATTGTACCACCACTGAACTGTCTTTTTTACTTAACTACTAAGTACACTTGTTTGTTGTGTTTGAGCTTTTAATTTTGCCATTTGATAAGGGACTTTTCCGTTTAAAATGTTTCCATGGAGTTCGGTATTTTTGTTATTTTACTTTTTGGTACAATCAAAAACCTGGTAATACATTTTTCAAACAAGGCCTAAGAAAATAGTGGAATTAACTACTTTAGGAGTATTAAAAATTCATTGGAAGTACTTGATAAATTGCATCCTCATATTGGTGCTTTCGAATCTGTTCAAAGTTTAGATTTGTCTACACTTTTTACACTTTGCCGCATAATCTCATTAAGATAAAATTCACATACCTAATTAAATGGGCATTTAAGAAGTCAAATTGCGAATATATATGTTCAAACTCTTTTAGGTCATTTTTTTAGTAACAATAAACAAAAGAACTATGTCAATTGGACCTGCTATGATATGATAACTGCACTTGAATTTTTACTAGATAACACTTTTGTTCGCTATGGCTATGGAGGTACCTTATATCGCCAAGTTATCAGAATTCCAATGGACACTAACTGTGCACCACTTATTGCGGACCTGTTTCTGTATTGTTACGAATTACAATTTATGACTTAAATCAGCAAAGACCCATCGAAACAACATCTGATACAAAAATTTAATAACACTTTTAGATAATGACGACTTCAGTATGTACACTAAAGAGATTTATCCTGTTGAACTTACTTTGAATAAAGCTAATACTAACAATAAACACTGCCCTTTCTTGGATCTTGATATCTATATCTTTAACGGGAAGCTTAATACTAAAATTTACGATTAAAGAGATGAATTTTCATTTCCTATTGTTAATTATACCTTTTAATATGGGGACGTTCCCTTGGCACCATTATTGGTGCTTATATATCTCAAATTGTTCAATTTGCTCGTGTTTGTAACAACGTATTTGATTTTAACGAAAGAAATCTTGTCTTACTGAAAAATTATTACACCAGGGTATTCAATATCACAAACTTTGTCAAAACTTTTACTAAATTATATCATTGGTACAAGGACATCATTCGTAAATATAAATCAAGGTGCAGACATCTTATACGTTCAGGTATTTAACATCCCATCTTTTATGGTAATATTCTATTCAAAGCACACAGATGTTGTCATTCACTTCAAAGCTAACCAAACATACTTAATCAGAAGGGACATAGTTACGATACTGTTGTCAAGTCTTTAAAGATGGCATTTTTTGGAATTGATATTGAATCACTCATAGTGCCTTTGCATGGGAAATAAACACATTTATTCTAAAACTAGTTGTTTGGTTGTGTTCTTCTCGAATAATTTATGATGGCATGATGAAAGAGTTGAGATCTCACAAAATGGGCTTAACCCCGCCGCATTTATGCGCCTGTCCCAAGTCGGGAACCTCTAGCCTTTGTTAGTCTTATGTGTTTTTTTTTAATTTTAGTTCATTCATATGTATTGAAGTTTAGTGCGGCTTCCATTTCGCTGAACTAGTATACATTATTGTTCAGGGGCCAGCCGAAGCCCGCCTCTAGGGTGCAGGATTTTCTCACTGCATTGAAGACCCATTGGTGGCCTTGGGCTCTTTTCTGCTCTTTTGTCTGGTTGTTGTCTCTTTGACACATTCCCCGTTTCCATTCTCAATTCTATTAATATATCAGGTTTTTGTCTTGACTTGAAAAAAAGTTGCAAAGGTGAAACTTGGGCATGTTGTTTCTGGTTGTAGCGTCTGCTGCATCAACAATTTATTTAAGTTTGTGATTTGGTCAGTTGTAGGGAAACCACTAATGGTAAAAAAAACGATAATTGGTATGCAGATGTATTATCATTGACACATCTCAATCTCATTTCCATGGAGTGATTCTTTGGCCTTGCCCCTCTACCCCCCCCCCCCCCTTTTCCCCCCTTAGTCATGGTCTATTGACTTCGAAACGTTTGCAAAGTTTACATGTTAAAAATTTAAAATTAGGCCAGTTTAAGGGGAACCACTTATAATATTTGATAGACAGTTATATTAACATCTTTTAACAGAGATTATTTGGTTCTGCATTCTCAGTCATGGTTCATCAACTTTGAATGATTTGCATATTTCATACGTCAAAGTATTTATTCTAATTTAAACATTTGCATTTTACTATCCAAATTACATACATGCGAAACATATATCTGTGTCAACAATTGAAATTACTCGCTTCATGGACAGACTATAACCTGTATGTCGTATATTTATGTGACAAACAAAGAGTATTCAAGATCTAAAGTACCAAATCATCATTAAATGTATTAC